ATGAATTAGGTCTCAAGTTTGGCAGACCTTGGCTGATTTGTCCTAAGTTTCCATTTAAAGAAAGACACCTATTGACAGTTCTTAGTAAAGCCTAAAGAGAAAGGTATGATGAACATGAAGAATAGGTACTATTGCAACAAAAAGCCAACAGTGCAATTATCTGAAACAATTGAGCACAAAGGTGGGAAAGGAGCGGAGAAGTCTGCCTTTAGTTTGTGTTCTGGAAATCCTGGGTGATACGCTATGAGACGAAAAAAAGATAAATGGGAGAAGTTGTTTTCAAAATACGAGATTGTCTACCTGTAAAATCCAAGAAAATAATCTGAAAAGTTATTAAAACAAGTGTTTAATAAGGAGCCAGTCATGAAAACATACAAAGCTCTGTCTCATATACTATTACCAGCTACTAGACAATATAATGGTGGGTGCCTGGCTGGCTCAGTGGGTCCTGAGCTGGGGGTTGTGAGTTTGAGCCCCACATTGGCTGTGGAGATTATTTAAAAAATTAAAACGGAAAAAAAATATAATGGGAAAAGTCATGCAGCAGCCTTGGGACTCTGCTAGTGGTGACTGCAGCGAATGGGGGAGCATGCAGCCTGGGTATACAGCACCCCCAGTCGCCCTCATCTTCAGGGAACTGCCCCTCCATGACCTGTGTGGCTCCTGGGAAAACTATCAAAAACCCTCAGTGGCATTTATGCAACATGGTGGTTGCATGGGGCAGGGATATCAGTCAAGAAACATGAGGCCAGCCAAAACAAGTTAAGGGAAGTCTGGAAAATGAGTTGCACATGGAGGAGGGCGGGGTGCACCTGCTGAGCTGAGTGGGGCCCAGAGAAGCCCAGGGCCCAAAGAGTCACTACGGGTGTTCTGTCCTCAGTCAAGGAAATCCCTCCAATCCTTAGCTCCAAACAGCCAGCTGGGCAGACTTCAGAGGCAGCTTTTAGATAATTTGCCCAAGAAAGTTGATAAACCAGAAACAACAAAGTCAAGGAGGGTTCTTACAAAGTTGACATACTGTGTCCAGTTTTCTTTGTATTGTATTTATTTTTTTATTTTATTTGAGAGAGACACAGGGATAGTGAGAGAGCACCAGCAGGGAGAGGGAGAGGCAGGAACACCCCCCCACCCCCCCCCCCACCGTGAGCACGCTTGCTCGCTCGCTCTCTCAAATAATGAATCCATAAATCTTTAAATAACTAGATCATTCTTCGTAAAGTGAAATGCCCTGACAGCCCATTACATCAGTTATTCTTTTACTAAACTGTCCTATTATCACAAATATTTAGACCATCCTTTGCATTTAATTATGCAGTAAGAGGGATCCCTGGGTGGCGCAGCGGTTTGGCGCCTGCCTTTGGCCCAGGGCGCGATCCTGGAGACCCGGGATCGAATCCCACGTCGGGCTCCCGGTGCATGGAGCCTGCTTCTCCCTCTGCCTGTGTCTCTGCCTCTCTCTCTCTCTGTGACTATCATAACTAAATAAAAAAAATTAAAAAAAAATAATAATTATGCAGTAAGAGCCAGTAGGATGATAGTCCATTTTCTAGCTCGTAAATGGACAGGAAATTTTCCAAAAGAGTATAGGACAGAATATATGACACGAAGTGAGTTAACAAGTCAGCATTTATTTGGATAAAACAAGACTAGGGGCCACATATAATCAGTACACTTGGAATTTATGTACCCAGAAGGTTATGAAAAGCAAATGTGACTTTTCCATAAACAAGACATGGATGCATGACAGTAAGGGATCAGGGGCCACAGGTGTGATGAAGCTGCTGTGGCTTCACCGGGGTGCGTGCCTTCCTGGAGTGGTGCAGGGAGGGACGCTCACCAGGTTCCCTGCCAAGCCCAGTGGACGCTCATCTTCCGATGCATTCAGTGAGTGCCTCCTGTATGCTGGAGTGTGGAGAACAGTGTGGGTCCTGCCCTGGGGGGTGCACAGTGACCCATGCCAGGCCCTCACCCACCATCAGGGGCTCTAATCAATGAGCCTGCGGGACCCAGGGCACTCTGGGGGGGGGGGCTCTCTCGGCCGCCAGAGACGCCCTGGCAGCTGAGCCTTGCTGGGCCTGTGAGGGCAACGGGGGCTCAGGCCCCCAACCCACCCCAGAAGGGGTGCAGCGAGGCTGAGGACTGGCTGAAGGGGCTGGCCATCCACCCACAAGGTTTAAAAGGAGAAGGAAGGGATCCCTGGGTGGCGCAGCAGTTTGGTGCCTGCCTTTGGCCCAGGGCGCGATCCTGGAGACCCGAGATCGAATCCCACGTCGTGCTCCCGGTGCATGGAGCCTGCTTCTCCCTCTGCCTGTGTCTCTGCCTCTCTCTCTCTCTCTCTCTCTCTGTATGACTATCGTAAATTTAAAAAAAAATTAAAAGGAGAAGGAAGAGGGAAGACATTTATAGCCAATCTCTGGTCAGTCAGGAGTGAAATTTTGGGTGTGAGGTGGGGGTTCATGCTTTCCTCCACCCATGTACCCAGGAGGCTTCAGCAGGGGACACTTCACCTCTACACCCTCAGGGCTTCCCCAGAGCTCATGTCCATGCAGGCAGGTGTGGAGCAGAGAGGACAAGTGAGCGCCGCGAGGTCCCGGTTGCTACTGCTTTTCCTTCCAGGGTTGTTCAAACACATCCACAGCCACGTTTCCTAGGTTCAACATTAGAGATGCTACAGTGTAAAAGCATGAAGAGGAAAGGAAGTTTCTGCGGCCTCCTGGTGAGTCACCACCCCACCCTCTTTCTTGGAATCCAGACTCAAGACTCATCTGCGGGTTCCCCCTGGGCCCGTGTGCCTGGGATGCCTGTGAAATAAATGCTACTGGCGTCAGCACCAAGCTGATGATCTGACCAGTGGCCTCCTTCTCTTTAGATTATTTTCTCAGTTCTGAATATAATGATGAAATGACAAATCTTGTGTTTTCTTATGAGGCAGAGACTACTTCTGGAAGGATAACCAGGAAACTGGTAACAGTGGTTCCCACTGAATTTGAACAATGTGATATTTCTTACTTGCTCAATACAAAATAATTTTTTAAAAGATTTTATTTATTCTTAAGAGACACAGAAAGAGGCAGAGACACAGGCAGAGGGAGAAGCAGGCTCCCTGTGGAGATCCCGAAGCCGGACTTGATCCCAGGATCCCGGACTCGATCTTCAGCTGACCCGGGGTCAGCTGAAGGCAGGTTCTCAACTTCTAAGGCACCCAGGCATCCCTACAAAATACTTTTTTTTAATAAACCTGAATTTTATCTTCAGCCTCAGTTTATATTGCCTTGCCATGGGGTCCAATGTTAATCTTCCACCTCTTCTCATTACCACATGGTAAGGTTCTCAAAAGACAGATCACCCCAAAACTCATTCATTCATTTATTCTGAAAATATTTTCTTTAGGCAACTAAAATGGGGCGGGGGAGGGGGAGCCTGGCTGCTCAAGCAAAGCATGAGATCCTTAGTCTTGGGGTGGTGAGTTTAAGCCCATGTGGGGCACAGAGCCTACTTGACAAAAACACACAGAAGCAAGGCTGCCAGACTCACTGCAAGGCTCTAGGGCTGAGTAGGCTGTGGTGTTGACACAGGGGCACAGATAGGGCTGTGTATGTGTGGGGTGCTCCAAGGGCTCAGGACAGATGGGAAGGTGTCAAGGGTTTCCAGGAGGCCTGGCTTCATCCATGAGGAAAGGCCCACTGTGTGTGTGAGGGAGCCAACTCCGGTCACCACCTGTCCCATCCCAGGTCATACAGATGGTAGTGAGGGGCACAGCCCAGTGCCCAGATGGTGTGGGTCCAGACCCCCACCCCGAAGTGTCTGCTGCTTCTTGAGGAGGCAGAGCCATCAGAAAGAGGTAATGGGGTGCTGCGAGATGGAGCGGAGATGGGGCAAGGCTTCCGTGGCCGGGAGGGCAGCTGGATTTCAGGTGTGGCTATCTGCAGGCTGACCGAGGGGTGGGCAGTGAGTGGGGGGCTCCGCAGCTCCCAGATGGCAGGTGGTGCCCGAGACAGGGCAACAGCATCAGGAAGGAGCCCAGGGTGCCCGGGGCTGGGAGGAGATGCTGCTCTGCGGTGGGAGGGGTGGGCCAAGGGGTTGGTGCTGGGGTGACATGGGGAGGGGGTGCACAGAACTTCCCAGGCTATCATCGGGCCCTTCCCCTTGCCTTGTGGCCACCAAATTCCCCACAGACCAGTACCCTGCCCCAAAGCCCAAAATTTTATATTGCTCAGTGCAATGATAATAGTTTTGATTCATTTATTCTTTTAATAAAGCACGTGATTAAAATTTGTTTGACTTTTTAATAGATTTATTTATTTATTCACGAGAGACACACAGAGAGAGAGAGAGAGGCAGAGACACAGGCAGAGGGAGAAGCAGGCCCCCTGCAGGGAGCCCGATGCGGGGATTCTATCCTGCATCCCAGGATCACGACCTGAGCCAAGGCAGGCGCCCAACTGCTGAGCCACCCAGGAGCCCCTGTTTGACTTTTTATTCTTCCTGGAGTGGCAGCTGGAGGTCTGCAGCTATGTCTGTGGCTCGCGCGGTACTTCCACCCGACACCACTGGGCCAGGACAGCCGCGGCCACTCGGCCTCGCGGAGGCTACAGTCAGGAGAGCAGAATCCCCTCTGGATCCTTCAGGCATGAGGGAGCCACGTCCTCAGGCGGGACCAGCTATGGCGGCAGCAGGTTGGGCTGGGAGCAGGGGCCCAGCTCCGCAGAATTCGGATGGCACTTCACACTTATGATCATGGGACCATCTTAAAGCCAATCTTTATTATCACGTTGAGATTGCAATCACTTCAGCTGTGTAAATCAATGACAAAAACATTCAGACTTCAGCCTGAAAATGCCAGACCTGCGCAGAAGCGGGAGGGGTGTGGCCCGCTGCGGGGCGTGGCCAGGGACGGGGGCGTGGCCGAGGGCGTGGCCGAGGGCGTGGCCGAGGCTCCGCCCAGGCACGCTCGGCTCTCGCGAGAGCGGCGCGTGATGACGCGCGGGCCGGCAGAGAGCGTCCGCGGCGCGGGCGGGCGGGTTTGAATCTGGTCGGAGCGCGGGAAACGGTGGCCGTCCTGCACGAGGTGAGCGCCGCGGTGCCCGCCGGCGAAGGGCGCGGGGGCGGGGGTCAGGGTCGGGACGCGGCCGGAGCCGGGCGGGGGAGTGGTCCGCGTGGGGTGACCCGAGCCCGCGGCTGGCTGGGGGCTGTGAGGCGGCCCCGGGGCTGAGGGGAGAGGACCGTGGACCGGCCTCGGGGAGGACACCGCCCGCGTCCCCGCCCTCAGCTCAGGCCCCAGCTCTGACCCCGGAGCCCCGCTTTGGACCCTGTCCGCACGCGTCTGTGAGGACCCGAGGAGGAACGGCCGGCTCCGGGGGGGGGGGGCGGGGGCGGGGGCGGTCGGGGGCGTTGACCCGCGGTGACCTGCCTCCTCGTGTGCCGAGCCCCCTGCGGTGGACATGGCTGCTCCCCGCCAGCGCGGCGTCCCGCGGGAGCCCCGAGGGCACAGCTGGTGGGGAGGAGCGGTGTCCCGGAGAGCGGGGCCAGCCCCCGCCGGGAGGAAGGCGGCCGTGCGGTCCGCGGCCTGGCCTGCGCCGCCGGGAGTGTGGGGTTAGTCATCACCTCTGGGGCGGGTCCTCCCCGCCGCGGGGCCGACGGAGACCTGGGTGCTGTGCCGTGACCACGGGGCGTAACTTGCCACCGGTGCCGCTTGCAGCCCCTGTCCCCCGGGGGCTCCTACTCACGCTTGCAGACGGAGCGGCTGCTTGCCAGCGGCTGTGAGTGCGGCACAGGGTCCCCCGGGGCCCCGGGGCCCGGGGCGGGGGCTGCACACAGGCCCCCCAGCGGGTGGGCGGAGCCCCGCGGAGCACCTCGGAGCACCTGGCGCACCTGCCCTGCTAACAAGCTCCCTGGTGGCCGCGCCGCTGCGACGGTGATGCTCTTGTTAGAGGATGGCGGCCTTCAGGATTCAGCAGCTGCCGTCAGCCTCTCCCTTTGTGTTTTTTCTTTTTTTCTGTTAGTACCTTCTTTCATTGACTCTAACACTTTGTGTTCCTCTTCTGATGGAATCAGCCTCCTTTTTCTGAGCTGACTCAGACCTGCCTGAGCATCTTGGTAAGGAAAGGAGAGAAGGTGAGCCTCCCAGAGCCTTCGTTGGTAACGTCGTTAGTAATGTTATGTTGATACCAATATCCTTGATAAAGTAATAGTTATTATTTAGATGTGGTAATGTTTGTGTCATAATATTGTTAGAAGCCGTTTACCATAGATGTTATGGGATCTTTTTTTTTCTTTTTTTTTAATTTTGGATGTTAGTACCAAATTACATCTTGTAGGAAAAGTTATATTTGCAAATTCAAGTTTCAGTATGACTGTTTTTTTTGTTGTTGTTGTTGTTGTTTTTTTTTTTTTTTTTTAGTATGACTGTTTTCTGCTAGGGTTACAGAGTAAATGCCATATGAAAAACAGTTTCATCTGTCATGGAAAAGCGAGAGACATTTGTACAAGCAGTGTCTAAGGAGCTGATTGGAGAGTTTTTGCAGTTTGTTCAACTTGATGTAAGTTTTAAGTTTAGTTTTCTTATGATTTGGTTGTTTACATCCACAAATGAAATATAATCCTTTCAGTGAATCCTTAGGGACCAAAGTTCATTAAAAAAAAAAAAAAAAGAACTATACTCAAATACACCTGCTGATGGGCAGCGATGCACACACTGTATTTCCTGCTTCTTTTAAGAGACTTGTAAGAATGCTGAGTGGTGTAGCACAAGGTGCTTCTATTTAAGTATTTATTGATCTCTTGCTTTGTGCTTGGCATGAGGAAGACAACTTTTTTGGTCCTCAGGTTATTTACAGTGTTGTGGTGGATCCAGGTGTGTAAGTATAGCAGGGTAACAAGGCTAAGCTGGGGCAAGGATACGGGAGGGGGCCCACATTCAGCCACGGACTGCTTCCTGTCCCAGTGGAAAGGGTATGGAAGCTGTGATTAAAGAGTAAACAAGTCAGCCAGTCAAAGAGGGATGTGGGGAAGGACCTCTCCAAGTAGAGGAGATAACTTTAAAGACCAGAGAAGATACACTGTGTTTGAACTTGAAGATATTTGGTAGGGCTAGGGCATAGAAATGCCAGGTCAGGCAGGAAGAGGCAGGGGCTGAGATTTGGATTATGACAGCCCTTCTTTACCATGTTATCCTGAGAGGAATGGGGGCTTGTATACACATAGGTAGAAGATGGCAGCAAGAGCCTGGAGAGTAGTGAAGAGGCTGTGCCCTGCACAATGGTGGTTGCATTAGGAGATGTGGGTGCCTTTGCAAGCTGTCAGGTTGCAAGGTGGTGGTGCTCTTGACTGGGTGTAGGCCGCGATGGATTCCAGGTTCTGACTTGTGCCTTTCAGTGGGAAGAAGGCAGGTTTTAGAGGGACGATAGGCTCCATTTGGGACATTGTGGATGACTGCCAGGGGGATGTGCACACAATGACCAGTAGGTGGATCAGTAGCTGTACCTAAAGCCCAAGAAAGAGGCCTGCATAGAGACAGATTTGGGTGTCCTCAGCGACACTTGGAAGCTTCAGTCATGGGAATGCAACGGGACCATCTGTAGTGTAAGAAGAGAAGCCTAGGACAGAACCCTGAGGAACCCCAACAGTTAAGGTATCAATTCTAAAACACTTGTGACTTTGGGTCAGAAGATGTATATGTCACTTGTTTTGCTCATGGAGTGAAAATTAAGTTAGTAGTAATTTAAAAAAAAAAAGTAGTAATTAAGTAGAGAGAAACCTAATAGAAAATTCGTTGCTAGCAACATTTATGAAGTTTTTTTTTTTCTTCTTTTTTAAGAGATTTTTATTTATTTATTCATGGGAGACACAAAGAGAGGCAGAGACACAGGCAGAGAGAAGCAGGCTCCCTGCGGGGAGCCCGAAGCAGGACTGTGTCCCAGGATCCTGGGGTCACAACCTGAGCCAAAGGCAAGACGCTCAACCACTGAGCCATCCAGGCATCCTGGAATTATTTTTAAGAGGGAAATGAATTATGTTATGATTTCATATTGTAAAATAGTATCCTGTAAACAAAAATAGTCAGTACAGACTCACAGGCAGCACATCTCAGAAGTGTCTGTTGAGAGCACACTATTTAGATGTTATATAAACACTTGTTGTAGTAGGAGCGTAGATGATATGTGCTCTGTTATGTGTGCAATACACGTGTGGTTTAAAGTTTACAAGATTATTGTTGCAAACTTTTGTCATAGTATTAACTACTATCACAAACTAAATTGATGATGATGAAGCTAGTTAATATTAATTTAAAATCAAAAGACCAAAATAGCAACATCTGGGTAGCACAGTCCCTACAGGATCAGGCTGATGTTGTAGTGACAGGGCGCCCTTTGAGATCCTTGTCCGCAGCTACCCCTGGTCACATGCCCTGGTGCCTTGGACTGTTGCTCAGCAGCACATATCTCAGGAGGATGCTGAGTTAGTCATTGTATTCATAGTCATTCCTTTTAGCTTATGAGTAGCAAGCCTTATTAACAATTATTTAGTATCTTAATCACCGTGTAGCTATTAGTTAAACACGAAAATGAGAAGATGTAGGATTATGCATCACTTGTTTTCTTCGAGTTGAATGATATGAAATGCCATTCTGTAGGTCAGAATAGTTGAGTGTAGGCAGCTGTTTGGTGGCATATCCTTCAGTTTGCACTTCTTTGATGATTTGGTTAAATTCATTTTATGCGTTTTGACAGGAGCTGCATAAGTGGTGTTTTGTCTTCCTCAGTGGAGGCACATGATGTCCGTTTGTCCTGTTATTGCTGAGGTTAGTTTTAATCAGTCACTTAGGTTGGGGGTATACCAGATTTCTCCACTGTCAAGCTGCTGTTTCCACCTTCATAATTAATAAGTGATCTTAATTGGGGAACTAAGTTGAGATTAGATAAATACCCTGCTCTTCATCAGACTTGTACCTACTGGTTTTAGTATCAATTGATGATTCTTGCCTGAAACATTTATTACTATAATGGCTATTATAGTATATACTATAGAAAATTGTGATTTTCTAACCCCATATTCCTTCCATATTTACTCATTGGTGATCTATAGCATGCTGATGCTGTTTGTTTTTTATTTATTTATTATCAGTTTTGTTGCACTGGTTCTTTATTGATTGGGTTATAATCCGTTACGGTCACTTGTTTGGTGCTCACATTGGCTGCACGCAGTCCCTTTAAGATGAATGCTCTACCCCTTTGGTAATGGTTTCTATTTGCTGTATCAGGGAGTAAGCTCATCAGCTCAGAGTGAGAAGAAATGGTTGGCTCGGGGTTTTAGGGATAGTTGAGAGGATCTGATATAATCTCATTGGTTAAAAGAAGAGAATGATGTCTAGAGATGAGTAAGAGGGGGTGTTGAGGGTCCAAGTTGGGTTAGAGATCAGCAACTTCAAGTATACTCAGTTGGCTTGGCTGTGTTGTTGTTATTGTACAGCTCCAACATACTTTGTGCCCTGATGATAGGCCTGGAGTGGTGGACATCTGGATGGATTGATTTTAGAGAGGATATTTCTAAGTGGGTAAAATTTTAAACTCCAAAGACTAGGTTACTAGGGCTGAATATGTAGATGAGAAACCTGCTACTTTCTTATTTTACTTTTTGAATTTACTTATTACACAGAGTGAGAGTGTGTACACACAAGTGAAGAGAGGGACAGAGGGAGAGAGAGAAGCAGACTCCACAGGGCTCCATCCCAGAACCCTGGGATCACACCCTGAGCCAAAGGCAGATGCTTCACTTACTGAGCCACCCAGGTGCCCTGGCATCTGCTACTTTCTGTCTCATAATTCCTGTACTTTTCCACTTAGGAAAAGTATTTCAAAACTACAGCTCAACTCTTGAAATGGTCATTAGCTTAGCACTTAATGAATGCACTTAATTTAGCAAAACTTCCTTTTGAGGCCATTATAAAGGGGATAGAACTAATTTTTGTAATTGAAATATAACAGTTGCTATTTATTTTGCAGAAAGATGCTTCTGACCCTTTCAGCCTAAATGAATTACTTGATGAATTATCAAGGAAACAGAAAGAAGAGCTATGGCAAAGGCTCAAGAATTTATTAACGGGTGTATTGTTAGAAAGCCCTGTGGCTGAGTGGCAGACGTTGGAAGTTCAGGGTGAAGACATTATGGAAACAGAGCATGAATCAAAAATGGTAGTAGTAATTTTTCAAATAGAAAACCTGTTACCTTTAATTTGTTAAAAAAAAATATTGTATGTAATTGAATTTTAAGTGGTGAAAACTAGAATTTAAGAAAGAATATTTGGAGTATGTTTATTATAGTTTTACTTTAAACAGTCTGCTGTTCAATGTTGCTGTTCTCTTTGGACAACTGACCTGTATTCAAATTTAATTTACTTTTTAGAATAAGCTAGAAGTGTGGGTTAATTTTTATAAAGTTAGTAACATTCACATTTCTTTTGAAAATTCTATTTTAAGTTGATTTTAAGTCACTTAAATTTGAATTTTTTCATTTGTAGAAAAACAGCATAGAAATAATTCATGCAATTACATGTGTGGTTCTTGCTTCTGTATCTGTAATAAATGAAAGTGAGAACTATGAAGACTTACTGGAATGTGCAGTGATGTTGAATGGTGAGTTGCATTTGTGATATCGTGGCATGTTTAGAGGTGGGCATCTACTGGTTCTCTGTGGAAGGAGCCAGTCTTCATGTAGAAGCAGAAGTATTAAGGTGTAACTTTGCTTTTAAGCTTTTTTACTTCAGCTAGAAAAAGAGCAAAGAAGTATTCTTTTTTTTTTTTAAGTTTTTTTTTTTTTTTATTCATAAGTGACACAGAGAGAGGGGCAGAGACACAGGCAGAGGGAGAAGAAGGCTCCCTGCGGGGAGCCTGATGTGGGACTCAATCCAAAGACCCCGGGGTCACGCCCTGAGCTGAAGGCAGATGCTCAACCCTTGAGCCACCCAGGTGTCCCAAGAAGTATTATTTTAAGGGCTATCCTGATGCACTGATTTAGAATGTAAATTACTGAACAACTGACTGCTGTTCTCAGATTTTCCAGTAGTCTTACTTGACCTATGGGACCAGTGGTAAGAGCTTATTAAGGAAAAATGGTCAGATTATAAATTCCTCAGTTGGTGATTACTGCCAGAAAGTTTCAGTTTAACCAAGCATTTGTGATGCTGCATCATTTTTTAAATATGTTATGAAAGTGACCTGAGAAATAGTTGTTGACAATTAGGGGAACTTTACTATTAAAATTTGTATCATGGTGCTTTTCAGATTTTAATTAAACTGTGAAACTGTAGTTTCTAATTTAGGAGGAGCACTATAAGAATTAATAGGAATATCTAATTATAAAATACATAAAACTATTTTACAGATATAAAAGATGCAAAAATGATTTTAAGTAATGATTAGCCCTAATCAGTATATAAATAGTTCCCAGTGTTTTGTGAATGTAACCATAGTTTATTTTCAGTCTCCAAATAACTTTTATAAAATGATTAGTGCTGATATTGTAGTTGTTTCTAACTTCCCATTAATTCAGAAATTTAACGTGTGTGTAATGGCATTCAGATATCTATGGATTATAATTATGAACATATTATTAGTATTTTCATTTTTTCTTGAGCTTTTCAATTAATAAAAGCACTGCAGTTTTTTTTTTAAAGATTTTTTTAGATTTTTATTTATTTATGATAGTCACACACAGAGAGAGAGAGAGGGGCAGAGACACAGGCAGAGGGAGAAGCAGGCTCCATGCACCGGGAGCCCGATGTGGGATTCGATCCCGGGTCTCCAGGATCGTGCCCTGGGCCAAAGGCAGGCGCTAAACTGCTGCGCCACCCAGGGATCCCAACACTGCAGTTTTTGTATTCATTTTAATAATTCTTTTTTTTTCCATTTTAATAATTCTTTTACTGTTTTTCGCCAGTGAGCCTGAATTTGAGGCCAGCTTATGAAGGACAGTTGTAGTGGGTTACTGGTCACCACACCTGACCTGGGTTTGGTGTTGAGTATTACCTGTGGGTGTTGTAATGCTTACATTTGGGTAGTATGAATACCTGCCTCTCTTAAACGAGGGGTTTGGACAGTGTGACCCTTCTGAGTCTTACAGTACTAAAATTCTGTATTCTATTGGATCTGCTTTTATAACAGTAGTTAACAGTTTTTTACAAGTTATTATCATTTGTATTCTACAAATAATGTATATAAATTTCTGGCAAGTTAGATGTCAGCTAATGTTTGCTTAGCAAACCTTTGTGAGTCATGGTACTTTACACTATTGACTCTGAGCTAATATTAGTTTATAGTAATTTACTAATTGAACATTTACTGTGCTCTGTTTTAGGTATTTTATATGCATTACCTGAATCTGAAAGAAAGCTGCAGAGTTCCATTCAGGATTTGTGTGTCATGTGGTGGGAGAAAGGTCTGCCTGCCAAGGAAGATATGGGAAAGACTGCTTTTATCATGCTGTTAAGGAAGAGCCTGGAGACTAAAACAGTATGTTTACTTTTTAAAATAGTGCATGTGTTTATACCAGTTATGAATTATGTTCACTCATAAGTGGCCTGACTGCAGTTGCTTCCCGGGTTAGGGTCTTTTTTAAGATGTTTGGGGGAGGGCAGCAGGCAATGGCTCCACATTGCAGTTTCATGCAGGCTTTCTCTACCTTCCAGGGTGTGTGGTCCTTGCCCTCTCTCACCACTTCATGGTAGCAAGGCGGCTGCTCCACCTCCACTTTGTTGTGTGAGTTCCAGGCTGGAGGAAGAGGCAGGGAAGCAGCAAGGGCCAGTCCTCAGAAGTTCTTAACCTGTAGCCACATCTATCTGCTGCAGATGGGATTTTGAAGGGTTACATTGCCACTGTTAGCAAAAGTGGATATTTTTAGTAGCGAAGAAGGGATGAGATAAGTGGGAATGGCTGCCCATGTTAGTGTGGTCCTCTGAGACTGCATAGGATTGGATGTATGTGGTGAAGGGTGATGGGGCAGGAGTGGTAGAGAAAGTCCTCGGGCCCACGTGGAGGCACCACACTTGTAGGATGTGGGGTCGTGTCAGACTAAAGCCTAGACCTAAAGTTTTAGAGAGCAGGTTTGAGGATTGGATTTAACTTGGTGTGTTTCTCAGCCTTTCATCTTTGGTGTGCAGTTAAGATATCCAGAAAGAGAACTGTTTCTGTCCCCTGATCAAGAGAACAACAGATATTTAATGTTCATCTTAGAAAATTGGGCAAGTGGGGATCCCTGGGTGGTACAGCAGTTTGGCGCCTGCCTTTGGCCCAGGGCGTGATCCTGGAGACCCGGGATCGAGTCCCACGTCGGGCTCCCGGTGCATGGAGCCTGCTTCTCCATCTGCCTGTGTCTCTGCCCCTCTGTCTCTCTCTCTGTGACTATCATAAATAAATAAAAAATTAAAAAAAAAAAAAAGAAAATTGGGCAAGTGAAGAAGGGAAAATGAGGAAAATGAAATCCTCTGTAATTCCACTACCTAAGGAATTCTCATTTTAGGGATATTTAGGAATTTCTCTTCCTCTTTCTTCCCCTCATACCTTTACTTTCTTATGACAGATTCTTACAAATGAGATTCATGGTTAGTGGGTTCGACCTTGATACCCATTGCCAATTTCTTAGCAAGCTTGCACTTTATCACACTCCCACTATCTGGGTCTGTCTCACCATGACCTCCAAGGAGCCGCCAGTTTGATGACAGAAAAGACTGTCTACTCCCACAGTTTGTCATAGGATTGTCATTGTTGGTTTATCTTTTTAAAAACTTTTTAAAAAATAATTTTTCCTGTCTTTCTGTTTAGCTTTTTTTTTTAATTTTTATTTATTTATTTTTTATTTTTTTTCTGTTTAGCTTTTAAATCAAGACTTTACTTAATGTCTCTAGTGTTTTACACCTGTGTGGTAGCATGTGGGCGCCACTAGCAGCACAGGGCTATTTAAGTTTCACTTGTAGTGAGGAAAACTAAACACCAGGTCCCTCATCTCATTAGTCACACTTCTGTGCTCTGTAGCCTAACAGGGCTGGTGGCTGCTGCACTCGGCATTGCAGAAACCAGGTAGTGCTGCCTATTGGTGCTTTTGTTTGCTTTTGCCATGGTTTTTTCCTTTTTGATGAATAATCTAGAGTTGTAATTATTTATTACATAAAGTGTTCTTATTGTAAATTTGAAATGTGACCTTAATTGTTTATTAAAAAACTAACATTTTTCTTTATGTCATTCCTAGGGCACAGACATATGTCGGCTTTGGCGTATTCATCAGGCTTTATATTGCTTTGATTATGATTTAGAGGAAAGTAAAGAAATTAAAGATATGCTACTTGAGTGTTTCATAAGTGTTAAATATATCAAGAAAGAGGAGGTAACCAGGTTTTTCTCTTTTGGTGTTGTTGTGAACTGCTTTTTAATGGTTGTTTTCCCTGAGTTCATGTAGTTGCTCTTGTACCACAGTCAGTGTTCTAATGAAAGAGTCAGCCTAGCTCTCAAGAGTTGTTATATTTATTGCACATTTTTACCACATAGTAGTATTATGCACACATTTTATAAATTGTTGCTTATTTCATCATTAAATCGGATGGTAATTAATAGGTGGCTGTGAATCCTAGGGGAGCTGGGATTATACTTTAAATTAAGAATGATCGGGGATCCCTGGGTGGCTCAGCGGTTTAGTGCCTACCTTCGGCCCAGGGTGTGATCCTAGGGTCCCGGGATCATGTGCCACATCGGGCTTCCTGCATGGAGCCTGCTTCTCCCTCTGCCTGTCTCTCTCTCTCTCTCTCTCTCTCTCTCTCTGTATCTCTCATGAATAAATAAATAAAATCTTAAAAAAAAAAAAGATTGAATGGGAGATGGGCTAGATGGGTGATGGGCATTAAAGAGGGTACTTGCAATGAGCACTGGATGTTGTGTTTAAGTGATGAATCAGACCAGAAACCAATATTGCATGGTATGTTCACTAACAAATTTTTTTCTTAAAGATTTTATTTATTCATGAGGGAGAGAGAGAGAGAAAGAGAGAGGCAGAGACACAGGCAGAAGGAGAAGCAGGCTCCATGTAGGCAGCCCGAATTGGGACTCGATCCCGGGACTCCAGGATCATGCCCTGGGCCTAAGGCAGGCACTACACCGCTGAGCCACCCAGGGATCCCCTAACTAATAAAATTTTAAAAATAAGGTTGAGAAAGCACTTCCCAGTGGATTGAACCTGACGCTCTGCCCTAATCCTGGCTAACTGGCATATACCAGAACCATCATCACATAAAATTCTCAGATTTCTTTTTCTCTGCCATCCAGTCAATCCAAAGAGCAGCTTCTGGCTACTGCTGCATGGTCTGTTTTGGTGGTCATTCCCACATGAGGCTACTGAGCATGTGGACTATGGCCAGCAAATTATAACCTTCATGGATTCAAAACTTATTATGAAAAAGAATGTAAAATAGCTCATTAGCTATTTTTATATACTTATTACATATTTAAATGGTAATAATTTGGCTATGTTGGCTTAGGTAAATATATTATTAAAATTAATTGAATCTTTTTTCCTTTTATTACTGTGGCTATTAGAAAATTAAAAATTGGGGATCCCTGGGTAGCTCAGCAGTTTAGCGCCTGCCTTTGGCCCAGGGCGCGATCTTGGAGTCCTGGCATCAAGTCCCATGTCGGGCTCTCAGCTTGGAGCCTGCTTCTCCCTCTGCCTGTGTCTCTGCCTCTCTCTCTCTCTCTCTCTCTCTCTCTCTCTCTCTCTGTCTATCATGAATAAATAAATAAATAAATAAATCTTAAAAAAAATAAAATTAAAAATTATGGAGTGGCTTGTATAGTTCTCTTGAACAGTTCTGACTTGTTATCTTAGGATTTGGATGTAGTCCTTTACTGAATGTGGACTATATTCCCATGCTAGAAGTGCAAAGAAGAATGTTTATATTACAGAAAATAGCCTTTGTTTGGTCATTGCCTCATACATACATGAGGCAAAAGGAGGAAGTCGCCACCCCTCCCTGAAGTAGGTGAGGAAAGACTTCTTGGATTTGAGGTCCATAAATGAAGTTCTACAGCTAGTCAGGAGCAAAGACACGGTTTGACCTTGCTTTGCTTGCTCAAGCATACCCTCTCCAGCTAGAGAGGTTAAAAGGGCCATATGTGGTCACTGATCATACTGACCAGATCCCTGTCTGTTCACCTACTAGATGGTGGCCTTAATGAGACTACTTTGAACCTTGTGTTTCCTTCTGTAAAATAGGAAGCACAGTGGTTCTTTGTCACGGTTCCAGAGGGACAAAGTGCCGTGCATACATGCCTAGAGCCGTTAGCATAGCGCCTGGCAGGTTCTGAGCACGTGGGAGGTATTCCAACTGCTCATTGCTGTTACCAACTCATCGTCGTTGGTAAAGACGCCTCAGGCCTGTGCCCTCAGGATCTCCAGGACTGTGGTAGAGTGTGAGGCTCAGAGCCAAGCAGCAGAGGGGGCCAGACAAGTCAGTTCCACTTACAGTGACTTGTACATAGTGGGTGCTGACCTGCATGTCAGCCTGTGTGTGTGTGGAGGTGCAATTGGTAGTACAGGCATAAACGTATGTCTCTTTTAACACTCCCCCCCCCCTTTTTTTTAAATTGATGTCTTTTGAATTTATGATATCTAAACTTAGTTTCCTAATGAGTCCTTACTTTGGTTAGTTCATTCTGGATAAATGACAAATATCTTGTGCTATCATGGCAAGTACTTATAGTAAATACTTTTTAAGTATTAAAAAGTATTACCCATGCCTTTTGCAAGCATGGCTGCCCTGCTATTTATATCAAAGTGTGTTGCATTTCTATGGGATTCCAGAGACAGTACTGGTGGACTGGTAAGCAGCAAAGAGGTGAGGGTATTGTTTGCAGGAAAAGTTTTAGATATATTTTATGTGCTGTGTAGAGTGTAAGTATCGTATTACTGCTTTTTAGGGCCATGTGTCATCTAGTGGTATGCATATAAACTAACACGGGGACTGTGTGTGTTTGAAAATTCTAGTTTGGCAGATACTAAGCCTCTTCACAAGTCCTCACTTTTCTCATTTATAAAAGATGAAATGAAGGATTCTTTGATTTTAGCTAATGTAGACAGAGCCAGAATGAAATGTTTGTGGAGCATTTACAAATTGAGCTACTGAGCAGCATGGCACATGTCTGTGCAGTCCTGTGGCTGAGCACAGAAGGAGGTCAGTGCTGGACCCTCCAGAGGGGAGATCCTTTTGCCGTGGCCCTGCTCCTGAGCTCTATCCCTCCAACACCCCCACTGAGGCCCTGAGTTGTAGTTATATATGCTTCCTTCACTGAGAATAACAGACTTTTCTGTTACTAACATCCAAGGAATTGTTTCCTTTTTAGTTATCTGAACTTTTTATTTGGTTGCAAGATTGTATCTTATTTTTCTTTATAGGGAAGAAGATTTCTTAGTTCACTCTTCATTTGGAATGTAAATTTTATTAAAATGATCCACGAGACCGTTAAAAACCAGTTACAGGGGTTACAAAAGTAAGTATTGAGGGCAATTGGTATTTTGTGTTGTCTTGATGATTTTAGAATATGCTATTTGACCTGACTTTTAAAGTTATATTAATTGGGACAGCTGGGTAGCTCAGCGGTTGAGCATCTGCTTTCCACCCAGGGTGTGATCTTGGAGTCCCGGGATGAAGTCCCACATCCAGCTCCCTGCATGGAGGCTGCTTCTCTCTCTCTGTGCCTGTGTCTCTGCCTCTCTCTGTGTCTCTCATGAATAAATAAAATCTTAAAAAAAAAATAGTTATATTAATGTATTGGAAGCTTTAAAAATTATCTCTTAGATTATATTATTTGTGATGTACTGTTTTTACTATGTGTTGTTTTTAACTACATATTATGTATTATTCTATCACTGTATAGTTTTTTCTCCGCTGTAGGAAGTCATTTTCAGTAATGACATTTAAGTTAAGATTTTAACTCGTGGTCATTCTTTAGTCAAAATATTTACCAGTTAAATCTTAGTCTCAGTTGCAGTATGGACATGGACACGGAATAAATTCCATGTCACAAGTACTTCTGATACCATTTTTTTTTTAAGATTTTATTTATTCATTCATAAGAGAGAGACAGAGACACAGGCAGAGGGAGAAGCAGGCTCCATGCAGAGAGCCAGACGTGGGACTTGATTCTGGGTCTCCAGGATCACACCCTGGGCCGAGGGCAGGCCCTAAACTACTGAGCCACCCAGGGATCCCCTTCTGATAGCATTTGAATGTAATGTCTACTTTCCTGTTTACTGTGGACTGAGCTATGTGGTTGGGTGGGAAGAGTCCTGCAGGCAAAGAGTCTAGGGATGCATGCACAAGTCGGAGCTCTCAGCCTCTTGGAACCTCACAGCAGTTGGAGCTGTCATGGTGAATGTTTGAATGTTTTCTGTTTGCCAGGTGTAGGGTTCAGTGCGTAATCTGCTCTGCAGCTGAGTACTTAGTGTGCATTTTCAAATGGAATCCTTCAACTGTTGAGGTGGGCTTGGTTGCTGAGTTTCCCTCTGTCAGGCAGCTAGCTTTGGTTAAGTACTGAGCTGAGATTTGACTCTGACTCTATGACAGAGTTCCTGCTGTTTGCTAGAATGCTTTCTCCTCCTGTTTCCCTACTGGCAGAATATTGGGGTTGAACTAAGAGATACCCAATGTGGGGCTCAAACTCATGACCTCGAGATCCAGGAGTCCCTGGCTCTGTCAGAAAAAACAAAATAAATAATAAACTTAAAAGTGTAGTGGTTTGAACATGCATTAACTTTCTTTTTTTCCCCGTAGATCTTTGATGGTATACATTGCAGAAATTTATTTCAGAGCTTGGAAAAAGGCCTCAGGAAAAATATTGGAGGTATTTTCTTTTCATTTTATTAAATGTTAACATTCATTTTTGTTGTATTCTAGTAAATAATAAGTTGTCATGGATAGTCATTTAATATCTGTGTTGATGCTCTTTGTCAAAATAAAGTCAGATAATGAGACTCTATGGGATGGAGATTTCATTCTCATTCCCACAAATGTTCATGCTCAGTCTGAGACCCAGGATTCCTGCCACTCATTGAGATGTGTGGTTTGAGTGAAATCAAGATTTGCCCCATATCATTTTGGTAGGTTTATTAGATCTGTAATGTCCACCCACCTGTAGCTGCCATGCACTGGGAATGTGCCTAGTCTAAGTGGAGACGTGCTATAAGTGTAAGAAACACACCAGATTCTGAAGACATAGTGGGGGAAGAAGAATGTAAAATATCTCATGAATGTTGTTTTAAAAATACTGCTTGCGGGATCCCTGGGTGGCGCAGCGGTTTAGCGCCTGCCTTTGGCCCAGGGCGCGATCCTGGAGACTCGGGATCGAATCCCATGTCGGGCTCCCGGTGCATGGAGCCTGCTTCTCCCTCTGCCTGTGTCTCTGCCTCTCTCTCTCTCTCATTCTGTGTGACTATCATAAATAAATAAAAATTTAAAAAAAATTAAAAAAAATAAAAATACTGCTTGCATGTTGAAATGATAGTGTTTTGGCTATATTGGGCTGAACAAAATACATTACTAAAATAATTTTGCTTGTTTCTTTGTTTTTAATATTGCTGTGAGAAAGTTTTTATTTATGATTTTATTTACTTGACACAGAGAGAGAGCACAGGCAGGGTGAGCTGCAGGCAGAATGAGAGGGAGAAGCAGACTCCCCACTGAGCAGGGAGCCTGAGGTGGGGCTCCATCCCAGGACCCTGCGATCATGACCTGAACTGAAGGCAGATGTCTAAATGACAGAACCTCCCAGGCACCCCACCACTAGAAAATTTAAAATTGAGTTTGTGGTTAGGGTTCTGTTTCTGTTGGGCTTTTTTGCTCAGGAACCTCAAACTACCTCTTTCAGTTACATTGTTGTTGAGAAATTAAAGACATTTGTTTTGAATTATGGCTAACCTTGAATGACTGGAATATCTATCTGCATTATGAAGATGTGGCTGTGTAATTCAGAATCACAATAAGGCTCAAAGGCTCTTTTGGAAAAATATCAGAATACTTTTTGTCAATATCCTTTGTGTTTTTCTTATACTAGGCTGTCAAACATGTTTTCTTTCTGAGAGTAAAATTCTTAAACTAAGTCAGAGAGGGGAGCAGGCCCTGAGCTGGTAGGTTGGGGAGAGCTTTACTCATCTCTGGAGCTTCCTTCTGTCCACTCTGCTCCTGTGCAGCTTAAACTTGGTTTATCACTGACTTCCACTTCTAGAAGAGAAAATGATCTCTCATATCCCCTGCTGACACCATCTACAGTCATTTTGCAGTGTAAAAGTTTTTGGAGGAAGGGACAAAACCAGGACATTGCTATACATTTTTGCAGTTTTATTATTCATGACATTTGTTCATAGGAAAGAATATTGGTCCCCCTTTTCTCTAATAGTGGATTTATTTGTTTACTTAAAGATTTTAGTTATTTATTCATGAGAGGAGAGGCAAACACAGGCCGAGGAGAAGCAGGCTCTCTGCAGGGAGCCTGATGCAGGGCTGGATCTTGGAACTCCAGATCATGCCCTGAAGCAAAGGCTCAACTGCTGAGCCACCCAGGTGTTCCTCCAATAGTGGTTTTAAAAATAAATGTTGGGCAGCCTGGGTGGCTCAGCGGTTTAGCGCTGCCTTCAGCCCAGGGCGTGATCCTGGAGTCTTGGGATCGAGTCCTGCATTGGGCTCCCTACATGGAGCCTGCTTCTCCCTCTGCCTGTGTCTCTGCCTCCCCCTCTCTCTCTCTTTCTCTGTCTCTCATGAGTAAATAAATAAAATCTTGAAAAAATAAAAAAATAAAAATAAATGTTTGTAGGGGTGCCTGGCTGGCTCTGTTGGTGGAATGTGCAACTCTTGATTTCTAGTTGTGGGTTTGAGCCCTGTATTGGGTGTAAAGATCACTAAAAATAAGTAAATCCCAATTTAAAAAAAATGTTAATAGTTGCACACATAATTGTTTGATCGAATCTGTACTGAATTTTAGTGCAGCTCTGTACTTCTCAGGCTCGGCTTCCCTCTTCCTCCCTCCCTTCCAATTTTTCAAGCAAGTTCCAAATAGGACATCTCATATCTATGTGCTTCAGTATTTATACACGGCCTTTAACATACTTAACAAAATTAACAGTTTCCGGGTATTTTTTAAAACATTTAAATTTCTCTGCTTTGTTTCAAAAATGTCTTTTTATAGTTTTTTAGGGAAACAGGATCCAATAAGTCTATGGCATCCTTGCTACGTCATTTAAATCTCTCAGAGCATTCCTCCCTCTCTCCTTTTCTGTTTTTAAAACCTGTGCCCTGCATGAATATGTTGAAGAAACTGGGTCGGTTGTCCTGTAGAATGTCCATATTCTGATAGTTAACTCTAAAGGTTCAACTTTTGTGGCACAAATACTTGGTAGGTAGTGCCATGTATCCCATGTCAGCGTGTGGTTCCCCGTAGGTAGTGATGCTAAGATTAGTGGCTTCAGGTGAAGGAAGTATTTTCAGAGATAATAAAGGGGGCTAATAGTAGTAACAGGCTTTCCTAATGTCCTTCCCTAAAGCAATGGGAACCTAGGGCTTGGAGGCAGAGTCCAGGGTAACAGACCAGAGGATCCGCAGGGGATTTCGGCTGCTCCTGGTGGTTGGGTCTGCCTTCTCTGCCCAGTTCTGGAGGTTGTAGGTGTTGTGGGCTAACCAAAGAGCTCCCTACAGCCAACTCCCTGCTGCCCTCCATGGAAGCCCTGAAAGATGTTGTTTCAGGCACTTTGGAGTCCTTGTCCCCATCTTGAGGGTAGTTCAGCGTCAGCTCTGGGGAGTCTCTTGGAACAGACTCAGTCCCTAGGTCGTCTGGTTCAGGATGACTCAGAAGAGAGGCCCTCAGGGCACGCTCAGTCTCTGAGCCATCTGGCTTGAACTAGCCTCAGGTGGTAGGGAGAAGCTTGCTGTGCCACCTGGCACAGATTTGGTATTTCATCAAACAAGGTAGAAGAAACCAAAGGAATATCAAAACTAAAGGGATTCCAAGAGGTATAGATTTGAAATAGGAATGCTCTGAGTGAGGGATCCTGGTGCTTTCCCTCATGATCTAGAGGACCCATGGAGCCGCCTCAGTAGCTATGCTGCCTGTCCTGACCTCTGTCGGAGCACGTGCGCCAAGTACTAACACTGTGTTTGCCATTCCAGACCATTGAAAACAGCTGCATCCAGGACTTCATGCACCACGGGATCCACCTTCCACGCAGGTCTCCTGTGCACTCTAGGGTGCGTGAGGTGAGCAAACCATTGTGGTGCTAGTCATGGATTTTTTGATAAAGCTGATAAGTCCTAGCTTTGTTTTTAGATTATTGTTTTTGTTAAATTTAAAAATTAAGTTAACCCCTCTCATGCATCAGCCTAAAGGACTTTCTCAGAGTCTTAGTATTTGGTATCTGGCAGTTTTAACTAGAAGAAAGGTATGTTATTGAGAGTCAGAACTTTTTTCAAATAATCTTTAAATTCTTTGACATAAAAATGTTCAGAATCATTACTTTCTAACTGCCATACCACTTTTTCAAAAACGGAATATTTGGAATTATTTTTATTATTTATTTTTATACGTTAAATTTTTGTTTTGATATTCTGTAAACCAAATGGAATAAATGTTTGGATAGTTTCTTGTGTGTTTTTAAAAGCTAATCTCAGGGGTGCCTGGCTGACTCAGTAGAGCATGTGATTTTTTTTTTTTTTAAAGATTTTATATATTTATTCATGAGAGACACATAGAGGAAGCAGAGACACAGGCAGAGGGAGAAGCAGGCTCCTTGCAGGGAGCCTGATGTGGGACTTGATTCCTGGACCAGGATCACTCCCTGAGCCGAAGGCAGATGCTGTACTGCTGAGCTACCAAGGCGTCCCCAGAGAATGGGATTCTTGATGGCAAGGTCATGAGTTTGAGCCCCATCCATGTGTAGCGTAGAATTTACCCAAAACAAATTTAAAAAAATTTTTTAAAGCTAGTCTCAGAATTTAGATGTGAATTTTATACTTACATTGTAAATGATCTGACTAAATAAGGCTTTATTTTCAATGTCTTAATGACACTGATAGGTGTTTGATAATCATAATGATCTTGGCAGATGGAATTGGGAAATGTGGTCTGTTTAGGACACAGGCTCAGTGTCCTGAACCAGGAGTGATGCCTTGTGTGTTTGCTGTTAGTTTTGGCAACTGTGTATCAAGAAGCTAAATGAATAAAGATTTATCTTTTTAGTGTAGTGAAATTACTATTATTTATAGAATGTAAACATAAATTAATTATATTAAGCTTGAAAGGATAAGGAAACATTTCTTTACATTATTGATGCTTTACTTTGAGTTATCCAAAGATAAACCCAGAGATAAATATATCCAGTTGATGCTTGACCTCCAGCCCCAACGACACACAATCCTAGTGTGGCTTCAGTAAGTTGTAGGTCAGCTTGGGTCATTTATTTGGTGTTTCAGATTCTCTCTCTCTCTCTCTCTCTCTCTTATTTTTTTTTAAATTTTATTCATTTATTCATGAGGGACAGAGAGGCAAGATTCTCTTTAATCATAAAGAATGATAGCATGTTAAATTAGATAAATTTGTGATGTTGATCGCTTCCTTCTTTGTACCAAATAAGTTAAGACTTTTTCCACTAAGGCTTCTTTTGATATTTGATTTTCTGCTCTGGTAATCTGAGTAATTAAGATATTATAAGTATAGATATCACTGATTGGTAAACTATGGGAAAATACATAGAATTAAAAGGAAGAGCATTAATTATATTTCACTTTTTGAATGCAGTATGTTCCTGGACTTTTAATTCTTATTGTTGCTTACAACACATTTTAGCTTCTTCCTCAAATCCCTTTTTTGGGTAAACATCACATTTGTATAATAAATTATTTTACTGATATGTTGAAAGAAGGTTTAGGAAATGCTTCAGACATTTGAAAGTAAAAATCCCTATACTGTTGATGAAAATCTTCTAACATTAGGTGTTTGGGTTTTTTTTTAAAGATATTTTTTATTTATTTGAGAGAATGAGAGCACACAAGCAGGGGGAGCAGCAGAGGGAGAGGGAGAGGAGAAGCAGGCTCTCCGCTGAGCAGGGAGCCTGACATAGGGCTCCATTCTGGGTCTCTGGGATCATGACTTGAGCAAAGGCAGATGCTTCAGGCAGACTGAGCCACCCAGGCACCCCTAAAATTAGGTGCTTTTAATGGTTGCCTAACTCTGGGAATATATACTAAAGCCCACTGAATTATGTACTTTAAAAGAGTGACTTTCATGGTTTGTGACTTATAACAATAAAATTGTTTAAAAATCTTCCTGTACACATTCAATGCAATCTCTATCAAAATACCATGGACTGGGATCCCTGGGTGGCGCAGCGGTTTGGCGCCTGCCTTTGGCCCGGGGCGCGATCCTGGAGACCCGGGATTGAATCCCACGTCGGGCTCCCGGTGCATGGAGCCTGCTTCTCCCTCTGCCTGTGTCTCTGCCCCCCCCCCCCTCTCTCTCTCTCTGTGACTTTCATAAATAAATAAAAATTTAAAAAAAAAAAAAAAAAAAACAAAATACCATGGACTTTCTTCAGAGAGTTGGAACAAATAGTCTTAAGATTTGTGTGGAATCAAAAAAGACCAAACAGCCTGGGGAATATTGAAAAAGAAAACCAGAGCCGGGGGGCATCACAATGCCAGATTTAAGTTGTACTACAAAGCTGTGATCATCAAGACAATGTGGTACTGGCACAAAAACAGACACACAGATCAAGAGAACCCAGAAATAGGCCCTCAACTCTATGGTTAGCTAATATTTGACAAAGCAGGAAAGACTATCCACTGGAAAAAGGACAGTCTCTTCAATAAATGGTGCTGGGAAAACTGGACATCCACATGCAGAAGAATGAAACTAGACCATTCTCTTACATCAGACACAAAGATAAACTCAAAATGGATGAAAGATCTTAATGTGAGACAAGAATCCATCAAAATCCTAGAGGAGAACACAGCCAACACCTTCTTTGAACTTGGCCACAGCAACTTCTGGCAAGATACATCTATGAAGGCAAAGGAAACAAAAGCAAAAATGAACTATTGGGACTTAAGAGAAAAAGCCTCTGCACAACAAAGTAAACAGTCAACAAAACTAAAAGACAACCTACAGAATGGGAGAAGATAATTGCAAATGACCTATCAGATAAAGTGCTAGTATCCAAGATCTATAAAGAACTTACTCAACTCAACAGCAAAGAAACAATCCAATCATGAAATGGGCAAAAGACATGAACAGAAATTTCACCAAAGAAGACATACACGTGGCCAACAAGCACATGAGAAAATGCTCTGCATCACTTGCCACCAGGAAAATACACATCAAAACCACAATGAGATACCACCTCACACCAATGAGAATGGTGAACATTAACAAGACAGGAAACCACAAATGTTGGAGAGGATGTGGAGAAAGGGGAACCCTCTTGCACTGTTGGTGGGAATGTGAACTGGTGCAGCCACTCTGGAAAACTGTGTGGAGGTTCCTCAAAGAGTTAAAAATAGATCTGCCCTACGACCCAGGAATTGCACTGCTGGGGATTTACCCCAAAGATATAGATGCAGTGAAAAACCGAGACACCTGCATCCCAAAGTTCATAGCAGCAATGTCCACAATAGGCAAACTGTGGAAGGAGCCTTGGTGTCCATCGAAAGATGAATGGATAAAGAAGATGTGGTCTCTGTATACAATGGAATATTACTCAGCCATTAGAAACGTGCTTCAACATGGATAGAACCTGGAGGGTATGATGCTGAGTGAAGTAAGTCAATTGGAGAAGGACAAACATTATATGGTTTCATTCATATGGGGAATATGAAAAATAGTGAAAGGGATTAAAGGGGAAAGGAGAGAAAATGAGAGGGTGACAGAACTTGAGAGACTCTTAACCCTGGGAAGCGAACAAGGGGTAGTGGAAGGGGAGGGGGACAGGGTGACTGGGTGATGGGCACTGAGGGGGGCGCTTGAAGGATGAGCGCTGGGTGTTATAGTATATGTTGGCAAATCGAACTCCAATAAAAAAAATATACAAAAAAAATCTTTCTGTAAGGAGCACTTGGGTGGCTCATTCAGTTGAGTGTGTGACTCGTGGTCTCAGCTCTTGATCTCAGGATCATAGGTTCAAGCCCTGAGTTGAGCTCCAGGTTGGACATGGAGCCTACAAAATAAATAAATGAATGAATAAATGAATAAATACCTACCAACCTACCTTTCTGTAAAGTGAGTATACGATTGATACCAAAACTTGATAATATTTTACACACAAAAGAACTGTAGTCTAATATCACCACCATCAATAAAAATTTCTACATAAAAAATTAACAATAAAAAAAATTAACAATCAGAAAATAATCCCCAGACTGTAGTTCGTTTAGGATAAAGTTGATTCAGGTTCAAACACTTAAAGTATAATCTATCGTTGGATAGCTTAACTTAATTTTTATTTTCCACTTTTCACTAATAGAATTTTAGTTCTAAAGGAGAGTGGTGAATTAAGGAATTTTGGCAAAACCGAGTTGCTGGAGACAAGAGTCTGAAGAGTTATGGGAAGACTGGCTAGTGAAGAGGGCAATAGGACAAAGGAGTGGAAGCTGAGTGTACAGCCCATCCTTTGATTGTTCCTAAGCTTGGGAATGATCAATATCTAAGTTAAGCTGGTACGGTAAAGGCCCATGGAGCAGTGACACCCATTTTGAGATATATGCATGTTTCAGATGCTCTTCTAGGTTCTTTGAACCAGATACTTGTAGCCAGCTCAATTTGGAACCAGAAGGGGCTATAGAAACCATTCAGGCTGACTCCTTTACACACACTCCTCCTCCACTTCACCTTGCAGGTCAGAGGTCTCTGAACTCATTTTGAGGTTATTTGACTTTTGGTAGAAGGTTAGAAACTATGACCCAAAGTCATTGATCTTTGTTTCTTCATAGGCTTCTTTCATGTGATTTCTCTCATGTGTTTAGTACAGTCAATATCTATTGTTATATCTTCTCCTCTTAGGGAAGAGTTGTCAAGACTTGTGAAGCATGAGGGCCTGTTTTGGTGTAGAGGACAACCTGCCCTCTCTGTTCAAAGTAGGATCTTAAATACTCTTTTTGAAAACATTACCTTTCTTTTTTTCTTTTCTTGGATCTCAGGTGCTGAGTTATTTTCATCATCAAAAGAAAGTTCGTCAGGGAGTGGAAGAGATGCTTTACAGATTGTATAAACCCATCCTTTGGAGAGGACTAAAGGTACACCTATTAAATACTCCATCCATGTTAAGAATGTGCTCATTATGCTTTTGAACTTATTGTGCTGTAATTCAGGCAGTATAAATGATACTGGAAGCTGGGGGCTTTTTGAAGTTTGGGACACATTTTTTTTTTTTTTTTTTAAGATTTATTCATGAGAGACACACAAAGAGGCAGAGACACAGGCAGAGAGAGAGAAGCAGGCTCCATGCAGGGAGCCCAGTGTGGGACTTGATCCCCGGACTCCAGGATCATGCCTGAGCCGAACGTAGACGCTCAACCGCTGAGCCACCCAGGCATCCCTGGGACAAATGTTTTATTCTTGTATTAAAAACATTTTTAGGCCTATTAGACTGGGAATCTGAATTGGTTTAGTGCAGATTCCACAGTAGGAAGGACATTTGTCATGCCATATAAACCAGCAGAGGTGTTGAGGTTCTGCATAGCTGAGCTGGGCCATCCTGGCTCTCAGAACCTTCTGCTTACGACTGAGACACAGAATCACAGCTGTTGGGGAGTGATGGAATTAACATGAGTGATTTTCTACATAGTAAACCTAGTGTTGGAAGAGAGAGAGTCACTGTTTCTTAGTGACAGAAGATGGGCTTTGAGATGAGGAATTGGGTCTTTATTTTTTTTTAAAGATTTATGTATGTATTTTAGAAAGAGTGTGTGCATCTGTAGGGAGGGGCAGAGGAAGAGAATCTCAAGCAGACTCCCACTAAGCAAGGAGTTTTACCCCGGGCTCAATCTCACAACCTGTGAGATCATGACCTGAGCTGAAAGCAAGAGTTGGAGGCTTAACCAACTGCACCACCAAGGTGCCCCCAAAACATGTGGTTTGTACCCTCTTTCCGTCTTTCTTTTCTTTTCTTTTCTTTCTTTCTTTTTTTTTTTTTTAAAGTAGGCTCCACGCATGGAGCTTGAACTCATGACCCTGAGATCAACACCTGAGCTGAGATCAAGAGCCAGATGCTTAACCGACTGAGCCAGCCAGGTGCCCCCAGGTCTTTTAATATTTGTCCTTACTGAGCCAAGGGTTTGGTTTAGCCCATGTATTGTCTAAGTTTGGTCAGTTTAAAGGTTGTAATTGTCTTTAATATGTAAGTAATTCTATATTGAGATACTTAGAACGATTTAGGAAATCTATACTGAAGCCTTTGAATGTTTGCTCTTTGGATTCTGAAACACTCTTTCCTTATTCCAGGCCCGAAACTCTGCGGTCCGGTCAAATGCTGCCCTACTGTTCATTGAAGCATTTCCTATTAGAGATCCAAATTTCAATGCTATTGAAATGGATAGTGAAATTCAGAAACAGTTTGAAGAACTTTATGTATGTATTGCATGTGACTGAGTCCCCTATGATGTCACCTATGTCTGGGCCTGTTGTGGGTCCTGGCCCCTCCTCCCCCACCCCCAACGTGACTCCATAACTACCTGTGTGCTGCCCTCTGATGGCAGGCTTTCTAGATCTTGACACTTCATAGAAATCCATGTTCTTCCTGGTGCCTTCTCTCAAAGTGTGGACCCAATAGTTTTATTCTTTTTGTCACCTTTGGAATATCTAATTATTTATTATTCTGTATAGTTTTAAATGTTTTCCCTGTCTTCTTGTGTCCCCAACACGGAGGCGGTATAATATGTAATTATAGTAGATTCCCAATTTGATGCTACTTCTCTATAATTGTTAGCACTTTGGGCAAGCCACTAACTTTTCTGTCTTTATCTGTGAATCGGGGATGTTGGTATTGCCTGCTCTCAAGTTGTGGGGTAGTGTGGATGAACAAACACTGGTGATGTTTTAAGGCAAGCCTGTGAATAATGCCTGCTGCAATAGATTTTTCAAATGACTGATTTTTCTTTTTTCTTTTTTTTTTCTGACTGATATTTCAAATGAGACTTTAGAGCATTAGGATGCCACATTTATTTCCAAAGATACATGGATCTTCTTCATCTGGCTGGAAAGTGCTATCTATTTCTCTACCTTCCCTTACATTTTTAGGACTTCCTAACACAAGCTAAAAAATATTATTTATTGTCCTAGTTAGTAGAATAAAATTTTAGGAAGTAATAGCAAAAATGCCATGATAAAGGTGGTTAACCATGGCATTCCTAAAATACTTCCTTTTGTTGGTTTAAGTTTCAGGATTTTTTTTTTTTTTTTTTAAGAGAAAGGGAGCTAGCACGAGTTGGGGGAGGGACAGAGGAAGACAGAGAAGCAGACTCCCTACTGAATGCAGAGCCTGATATGAGGCTCAGTCCCAGGACCCCGAGATCATGACCCAGCCAAAGTCAGATACTTAACTGACTGAGCACGTTGCTGCCTGTTTGTTTTTGATTTAATGAAAAATCTCAGACATGCAACAAGTTGAAATAATAGTATAATGAATATGTATAGACTTGGCTCTTTGTATGCACATACATATATACATATGTGCACACGTGTGCATATACGTACATACACACCTCCATACAGACACACATCTAAAATGAACAGTCATTGGTATTTTGCTATAAGTGCCTTATTTGCATGTATATTTATGTAAAATTCCCCTTGAGAATCATTAATTTTGTGGGGCTAATGTTGGTAGGCAAATCAAAGCTAGATTTTGGTAGTTTTAGCCAAAAAATCTATGAAAACTTTTTTTTTTTCTGTTTTTAGTAGAGATTTTATTTTATTTATTTGAGAGAGAGAGAGATCATGAGCCGGAGAAGGGGCAAAGAGAGGGGGAGAAGCAGTCTCCCTGCTGAACAGGGAGCCTGACTTGGGATTTGGTCATGACCTGAACTGAAGTCAGGCACTTAACTGAGCCACCCAGGTGCTCCAACTTTTGCTCTTTTTAACTCAGGTGTCCAAATCTGTGAACCACTGTTGTTTTTAAATGTGTAAGTGTCTGCCTTGGTTGTGGTGAGGGAGTGTGTGCTGCCAGTTTTCTACAACCTGCCATTTCACACATGCACAGGGAGGGTATGGCCCGGCCCCCATGCTCCTGAGCAGAACACGTGCAAGCAGACTGTATAGATATCTTGCTGGGGACTTCCTTAGCCCTAGTGCTGGGCAGCAGCACACATAGCGATGGAGAGCATGGAGCCACACATTTTGTTTTGAATCCCACTTAATAAGTTTGGTCTTCATCAAATTGCATAACCTCTCTCTAGTCCTGTTTTTTCTTTAAAATTAGAAATAATATTCTGTAGGATTGTGATAAGGTCTCATTGAAAAATTGTGAGACATTTAGCTTAGTCCTAGCATTAAGATGACAGTGGTTATAGGTGAAAGGGATTTAGAGTACACTTATCTTTTTTTTTTTTAAGATTTTATTTATTTATTCATGATAGTCACGGAGAGAGAGAGAGAGAGGCAGAGACACAGGCAGAGGGAGAAGCAGGCTCCACATGCAGGGAGCCCGATGTGGGATTCGATCCTGGGTCTCCAGGATCGTGCCCCGGGCCAAAGGCAGGCACTAAACCGCTGCGCCACCCAGGGATCCCTACACTTATCTTTATAAGCACCGAGTAATATGTAGAATTGTTGAATCACTCACTATATTGTACACTGGAAATTAATAACACTATGTTAACTACACTGGAATTAAAATTAAAAAATATTGTATAAAAATGACAGTGGTTGTTACTGTCCATAGGATCATTGAAAATATGTAAAGTGATGTGATTATCCCATATAATATGAGGAGCATATTGGTGAATCCTATGTCTCTTGTACTAGAAACAAATGAATTTCTAGAGGTGTATAGGGAGCTGTTAGTCTCTTAGAGAAGTAGATGCCGTCAAGTACTTGGTATCTTGGATATTCTTAGAATATTGGCTAGTGGTTGGTGTAACTATAGCTCATTCTATTCCATTAAAAATCCCTTATGTTGTAAGTTGGAGAAATCGTACTGTGAGAACCTCATAGTTGGTAGAAATATTGTTTGAATAAAAATGTTTCCAAACTACAGAGGTTCATATAATTTTAGCAAATGTGTGATATGTACATGTTAATAAGTTTAAGAGGCAGGACCTATGAAATAATTGTTTTACAATGAAAAATAAATTAGGGGGATCTCTGGGTGGCTCAGTGGTTTAGCGCCTGCCTTTGGCCCAGGGCGCGATCCTGGAGTCCCGGGATCGAGTCCCATGTCAGGCTCCCTGCATGGAGCCTGCTTCTCCCTCTGCCTGTGTCTCTGCCTCTCTCTCCCCCTATGTCTATCATGAATAAATAAATAAAATCTTTAAAAAAATGAATAAATAAATAACGATGTGGAGTACTTTAAAAAAAAAAAAGAAAAGAAAAATAGATTATATATAGGAATGGAGATTCTTAACAGAGAAAATCCCTAAAAGAAATGCCAAATCTCTGTTAGATTCTAACAGGTAGGCCATATTAAGACTAGAACACAGTCATCTATATTCAGATAAATCATTGTTAATTTTGTTTTTGTTTTATTACCTATTAAAAAATAAAAATTACCTAATGTTAGGAGCACCCAGCTGGCTCAGTTGGTGGAGCATACAACTTTGGATCTCAGGGTCATGAGTTCCAGCCCCAGGTTGAGTGTAGAGATTACTTAAAATCTTTTTAAAAAAATTATTAAATGATATTTTATTTGAATAGAAAGGAAGAAAAAACTAAAAGATGATTGAAGTTAAATGTTTTTTTCAGAACAAGAATTAAGTTCTAAATGATTCCTCTAAGTTTAACAGATAGAAAACACCAGTGATATAGTTGTTTAAAATTATGTATTTCTGGGCAGCCCCGGTGGCCCCGTGGTTTAGCGCTGCCTTCAGCCCAGGGTGTGATCCTGGAGACCCCGGATCGAGTCCCATGTTGGGCTCCCTGCATGGAGCCTGCTTCTCTCTCTGCCTGGGTCTCTGCCTCTCTGTGTGTGTCTCATGAATAAATAAATAAAATATTAAAAAATAAAATTATGTATTTCTTAGTAGAGATGTGTTTGTGTATTTCAAGTAGCAAAACTTAGCAGTCTCATAAAAATGAGATATCAATGTCTAAATGGGTTTTTAAAATAATAGTTTCAGGGATCCCTGGGTGGCGCAGCGGTTTAGCGCCTGCCTTTGGCCCAGGGCGCGATCCTGGAGACCCGGGATCAAATCCCACGTCGGGCTCCTGGTGCATTGAGCCTGCTTCTCCCTCTGCCTGTGTCTCTGCCTCTCTCTCTCTCTCACTGTGTGCCTATCATAAATAAAATAAAAATAAAATAAAATAAAATAATAGTTTCAAAATTGAACATAATAATAGTCTCTGCTCCAGCAGAAAAGGACTGGTGTGTGAGCAACATATCCCGTGGAGGCTGTGAATCACTTCTGGGGGTGAAATGAACCCGTGGGCAGTCATCAGAGCTTTAGGAGCTGAAATAGTTTCCATCAGCCCTGCTCTGCAGCAGGGCATTTTTTGGAGGCATAGATTTCTGAGTATTTGAATCCCAAAGTATTATTTTTTTCCCCTAACACCTAATTTGTAGTTTGGCCAGATTGAGAGAATTTTTTTAAGTTCAAAATCATTTTTTTCTAGGACTGTTAAAATAGTCTGTATTGTTTTCTAGCATCAAGTGTTTCTGAAACTTTCAGGATGTTTTTCTCTTTTTTAAGAGATTGAACAATAATAGTCTCTAAAGTTCTTTTTTTAAAGATTTTTTTTATTTATTCATGAGAGACACAGAGAGGCAGAGACATAGGCAGTGGGAGAAGCAGGCTCCGTCTGCGGAGCCGGATGCGGGACTCCATCCCAGGACCCTAGGATCATGCCCTAAGCCAAAGGCAGATGCTCAACCACAGCCACCCAGGCGTCCCTAGGATGTTTTTCTGTGTCTTGATTTTTTTCCTCCCCTCTGCTGAGTTTACCAGGAAACTTAGTCTATTCGTTTGAATCTTAGGCAAATGAAGCTTTCTTAGTGTAATCTCTTTATTTTCTTTTTCTTGATGCCTGTTCTTTCCTAACTCCTTTTAGGAGGCAGTGCGGTATAATAAAGAGCAGAGTTGGCAAACTGTGTGACAGGCCAGATGATAAATGAGGGTAGGTCTGTGGACCATGTGGTCACAGCCATGGGCTGCATAGAAGTGAGTGAGTGTGGTTTGTTCCAGTAAGACTGTGTTTGAGAACACCAAAATTTAAATTTCATGTAATGTTCACGTCACAAAATATTATTCTGTTTTTTTAAGCATTTAGAAATGAAAAATCATTCTTAGGCATTGTGGACCACACACAGACGGGCCTGGGCTGGATTTGGCCTCCAGGTTGGCTGAGAGTTCGTGATCTTGTTGGATCAGGTACTGAGTAAATGGAAACAAGTTTTCATGAGGACTGATAAAGGAGATAATCCAATACGTAAGAGCAGTGATCATTTCCTGGTGTCCTCCATGTGCCTTAGCTGTTCTTTCATACTTTTGTTCTGTTGGTGTTTCTCAAACTTGAGTAGTGTAGAGAGTTTCTTTTGAAGTTCAAATGTTGAAGTGTCCTTTGAGACACAGTGACTCTCCTGGAGAAGCAACATCACAAGTGCCCACCCTGAGTGACTTTGGCAGTCCTGGGATTGTTTGGGGATACAGAGATGAGCCCAGAACTCGTATGAGACTGTGTGCTAATAAGCTAATTATCCAGAGTATATTTTTGAAGAATGACATTGAAAGTAATTCATAGGAAACAAAATCTATAAAACCTGTGAATTCCAAAGATAGTTCTTCAAATTCCAAAAGTTCTCTCTTTTTTCCCCCTTTTTATCTTGCTGTTTGTTTTTTCTCTGATGACCTATTACTTTTCTGTCCTTACTTTTGAGAAGAGTTGGGTGATGAGGTGGTTGGCAGGGGTTTTTCTCTAGTTGGGTAGGCATTTTCCTTGTATGGTAAGTGGCTTGTTGTTTTGCACAAGTGGGCAGGGCTTGTCAGCAGATTGGGTTCCCTTTGGGTTCTGTGGCTGAGGGTTACTTGAGGCCAGTGACCCCAAGGTAGGGGAGGGGCCTTTCCTCCTGGTGGCTTTTTTTTTGGGGGGGGGGGACAGGTCTGATCTCTGGCAGGGTATAGGAATGTCTGATCTGGGTCACAACCTTTTCTGCTCTTTCTATGAAATCTGTTTTTACTTTCCTTCTGGTAGAAATCTCTAGTTTTAGGGGCACTTGGGTGGGTCAGTTGGTTCAGCATCTGCCTTTGGCTGGGGTCGTGATCTTGGGGTCCTGGGATTGAGGCCCACGTTGGACTATGCTCAGCGGGTAGTCTACTTATCCTTCCCACTCTGTGCACTCTCTCTCTCTCAAATAAATAAGACCTTAAAAAAAAAATCCTTCGTTTTCAATGTTACTATCTCTACTACTTTGTCATTTTTGTCAGATTTGGGGAGGAGAGGAAGTAGGTGCTTATTCATCTTAACTTGAACAGCTTTTTTCCCCTGATTACAGAGTAAGAATTATTTGTGCTTTTAAACTTTTATAATAGAAAAATTTGCACATAATGGTAGAGAGCCTAGTATGATGAACCCTGTATACCCATAATACAGTTTCAGTAATTACTGGCCCAAGCCTAATCTATTTCTTCTTTGTTTTTTTTTTTTTTTTTTTAAGATTTATTTATTTATTTATTTATTCATTCATTCATTCAGAGAGAGAGAGAGAGAGAGAGGCAGAGACACAGGCAGAGGGAGAAGCAGGCTCCATGCAGGGAGCCCCGACGGGGGACTCGATTCCGGGTCTCCAGGATTACACCCTGGGCTACAGGTGGCACTAAACCACTGTGCCACAGGGGCTGCCCTTCTTCTTTGTTTTGAAGCAGATCTGAGATACATCATTTTAATTCTTAAGTATTTCAGTAGAAATTACTTAAAGATAGTGATATTTATTTATTTTTAAAGATTTTATTTATATATTCATGAGAGAGACAGAGAGAAAGGCAGAGACATAGGCAAAGGGAGAAGCAGGCTCCTTACAGGGAGCCCGATGTGGTACTCGATCCTGGGACCCCAGGATCACACCCTGAGCCAAAGGCAGAGGCTCAACCACTGAGCCACCCAGGCATTCCAGTGGCTTTTTTGTTTAAAAAAGATAATCATGCCATCATCACAACTAAGGAAAAATGACTAATTGAAGTTATCAAATATTGAGTGGTGGCTTAGTTTTTTAAACACTTAAAAATTTTGTTTTTAATTTTTAAGTAACTCTGTGCCACATATGGGATTTGAACTGAGGACCCTGAGATCAAGAGTCACACACTCCCCTGACTGAGCCAGCGAAGGTTCTCCTGGGTCATTGTTTTTGAGTGATATTTCAAACAGTTTTTCCTGTTTTGTTTGAATCTGTGTCTAAGACCCACACATGTGATCAGCCAACATATTGGTAAGACCTGGTAGCCTCAGTCTCTTTCCCCTTTTGGCTTGCTATTTTTGTTGTTGTTGAAGAAGCCAAATTATTCTTTTGTTTCTTTCATTCTGGGTTTTATAGAACATAGCCCTGTGGTGTTGCGTTCCTCTGCCTTTTGTCTTTCCTGAATGTCAATAGGTGTAGAGTTGATCGGTTATTTTTGTGGGGAGTTTGTTTATTGTGTCAGATTCTTCATGGGGCTGTTGTATACTTCCATTCAGAGATAAACAACATCTCGTTTATTTTTGTATTTTTTTAAAGGGGAGGTGAGGGGTAGAGAGAGAGAGAATCTTAAGCAGGCTCTACACCCAGTGTGGAGCCTGACGGGGGGCTCCATTTCACAACCCTGAGATTATGACCTGAGCTGAAACTAAAAGTCGGACATTTAACTGACTGAGCCACCTAGGTGCCTACTCTTTTTGTATTGTTAGCAACCACTAATGACTATTTCTTGGATTAATTCATTACAGGTAGAATTACTTTATTTTGGGCTTAGTGCATTACAGAATTTTGGAAATTCAAGAGAGTGGTTTACATGGGATGTGCCTGTAGGATCGGGTGAAGTCTGCATACCTCACTGAATGTGGTATTTTAGGCTCTGCTGTCAGCAAAGTCCTATAGATGGGATTGACAGATATGGCACCACACATGTCTGGATTGTCCTCTTTAAATGCTCAACTATAGAAATGAGAGTTGATATAGAATGATAAATAGAAATGATATAGAAATGATAAATAATGTGTGAATCTGTATAGGACCAGTATTTCTGTAACTTGAAATGACTGCTTCTTTGTGAATGCACAGAGTGCTAATCTGTAAAGCCAGTATTGATATTAAGGAAACTGATTTAAGATTTTAAGTCTTTTTTTCCCCTCCGACTTATAGAGCCTATTAGAAGATCCTTATCCGATGGTCCGTTCTACTGGGATCCTTGGTGTTTGTAAAATAACTTCCAAATACTGGGAAATGATGCCTCCAACCATTCTTATTGATCTCCTCAAGAAAGTTACTGAGGAACTGGCATTTGACACAAGCTCAGCTGATGTGCGCTGTTCTGTCTTTAAGGTAGGATTTAAAATGATAAAGCAATATTTATCATAGAATAATGAAAAAATACAGAGAAAGAACAATTTTTAAGTCACTTGTAATTCTGCTCTATAGATATAACTCTGGGCACTTGTAAAGAATTGTAAATGTCTTCTTCAAAAAAGACCTACTGGAAATAATACCAGTTTTTGATGTATGGCCAGGATGGGTAGGCAGTGCTTTTAAAACAGGAACTGTATGTAGTACTTAATTTTTTTTTTTAAATCAATAGTTAAAATTGACTTTTTTGGTGTACCATATGTACTTTTAACAAGAACCTACAAAACTGTCCTTTCTCCCATCATCTAGTTTCAACAGTTGTCTAAAATACACCTCGTCTTGTTTCATCTTAGGCCAATCCATTGTCTCCCACTATTGGTTACTTTGAAACAAACCCTGGACATTGTATCAGCTCATCTGTAATTATTCAAGTATGATGATTAAAACATAAGGTCTCGTTATAGTTAATGATAATAATATTGTATGGTGCAGATGGTAACTACACATTTTGTGGTGAACATAGCATAGGTATAGAATTGTCCAACTACTATGTTGTACACCTGAAACTAATGTAACATTGTATGTCTATACATACAATGTCAGTCTATACAACTGACTATAATTCAAACAAAAAAGAGGTCTCTTTAAAAAATTGTTTTTCCTAATAAGTGAACAAGTGAAGGTGGAATATATCAGATATTCAGATTGCTGCCTGGTCTGAGCTTGGGGAGGTCACTCAAACCACCTGTTTGTAGGCATGCATCATGAGTGCCCCCGGCGGGTGTTCTGTAATCTCTGGTTGTCATGTAGGATTGAGTCAAGAAATAGGAGAATTCATGGGCTACTAAAAAAATGTGAAAGGAGTGTTGAATCCTAGCTTTGGACACAAATTGGCTTTGGAGCCCTCCACCAGCACTTTTTTCAACTCTGAAATCCTTTAAAGTTTGGCTAAGAGAGGTACCTGGGGAGCTCAGTTGTTGAGCATCTGCCCTTGGTTCATGTTGTGATCTCAAGGTCCTGGGATCGAGTCCTGCATTGGGCTCCCTGTAGGGAGCCTGCTTCTCCTTCTGCCTGTGTCTGTGCCTCTCTCTGTGTGTCTCTTGTGAATAAATAATCTTTTTTAAATAAATAAATAAATAAATAATAATAAATAAATAAATAAATAAATAAATAAATAAATAAATAAAATTTGACAAAGAGAAAGCATTGCAGAATTATTTCATAACTGCTTTAATTTTGTTTGGGTGGGACAAAAGATGAGCTGATTATCAGTGTTGAAACTATACTAATTCATTAAAAGTTTGCTTTTTATATGAAACAGTTTTATAAAAGTTTCCTGTCGGTATATTTATTTCACTAGTAGTTCACTAATAAAGATGGAGCTGAGTATTTTCTTAACTTTTTATTGTTTATATTCTAAATGTGAATTGTTTCTATTTCTCCTTTTTGATAGTGTCTGCCAATAATTTTGGATAACAAATTAAGCCACCCACTATTAGAACAGCTTCTGCCAGCACTGAAATACAGTCTCCATGACAATTCAGAGAAAGTGAGAGTGGCTTTTGTGGATATGCTGCTGAAAGTGAAAGCCGTGCGGGCTGCTAAGGTAGGATAGGCAGGACTTTATCATCGAAGATGTGAAATTAAGAAGTATATTCGTTTTCATCAGCAAAAGACAAAGCAATTTTAATTCCAAGAGTTTTACTAATCACGTTTAAACTAGTGGATGTCTGGTATGTTCTGCCAATTTATTTGCATCATAAAATTTTGTTTTGTGATTTTCACTGAAGTTTCTAGAAATATCATCAGTGTATTTTCTTTCTGAAAGACATTAATGTAAAGCAACCCCCACCTTAAGTTTTATTTTTTTAATTTTTATTTTATTTATTCATTTATTTATTAAAGATTTTATTTATTTATTCATGAGAGACACAGAGAGAGAAAGAGGCAGAGACACAGGCAAAGGGAGAAGTAGGCTCCACGCAGGGAGCCCGATGTGGGACTTGATCCCAGGACTCCAGGACCACGCTCTGGGCTGAAGGCAGGCGCTAAACCGCTGAGCCACCCAAGGATCCCTTAAGTTTTATTTTTATCATATGCATAAAAGCTTTTGTTCAAATACTGAAATGCTTGCTACTCAGCAACGACTTAAATATTACTAGGAAAATTCCCTTCATTTTATAGAAGGAAGGAGTAATTGTGCTGTGATGTACATTTAACATCGTGTAAACTTTGACAGTGAGGGTGTGCTCCCTTAGCTTGAGTCCAATTTAGCTTTTGTCTCAAAGTATTGGATTTTTTAACTTCGTTTATTAACGCTATGTCTTTTCTTCCTTCACATAGTACTTTTCTTTTCTTTTTTTTTTATATTTTTAAAATATTTTATTTATTTATTTATTTTTTTATTTTATAAATTAATTTTTATTGGTGTTCAATTTACCAACATACAGAATAACACCCAGTGCTCATCCCGTCAAGTGTACCCCTCAGTGCCCGTCACCCATTCACCCCCACCCCCCGCCCTCCTCCCCCTCCACCACCCCTAGTTCATTTCCCAGAGTTAGAAGTCTTTATGTTCTGTCTCCCTTTCTGATATTTCTCACACATTTCTTCTCCCTTCCCTTATATTCCCTTTCACTATTATTCATATTCCCCAAATGAATGAGAACATACACTGTTTGTCCTTCTCCGGTTACTGTGGCCAAGTTCAAAAAGGGTGTTGCCTGAGTTCTTCTCTGGGATTTTGATGGAATCTTGTCTCACATTTAGATCTTTCATCCATTTTGAGTTTATCTTTGTGTATGGTGCAAGAGAGTGGTCCAGTTTCATTCTTCTGCATGTGGATGTCCAATTTTCCCAGCACCATTTATTGAAGAGACTGTCTTTCTTCCAGTGGATCGTCTTTCCTCCTTTATCGAATATTAGTTGACCATAAAGTTGAGGGTCCACTTCTGGGTTCTCTATTCTGTTCCATTGATCTATGTGTCTGTTTTTGTGCCAGTACCACACTGTCTTGATGACCACAGCTTTGTAGTACAACCTGAAATCTGGCATTGTGATGCCCCCAGGTGTGGTTTTCTTTTTTAAAATTCCCCTGGCTGTTTGGGGTCTTTTCTGATTCCACACAAATCTTAAAATAATTTGTTCTAAGTCTCTGAAGAAAGTTCATGGTATTTTGATAGGGATTGCAATGAACGTGTAAATTGCCCTGGGTAACATTGACATTTTCACAATATTAATTCTGCCAACATAGTACTTTTCTGACATTGACTTTAAAATGCTATTTTGTCCGAGCACAGAATTTGGGAAGAACCTGACATGTCCAGTAGTCTCGGGTTAACCATATAGACCTGTGCTGTGTTCACAGAATGAAAGAACGCTGTGTTGCATGCAGTGTAGCAAAGCAGGTGAATGGTGAATCCATGCATTGGCCATTTGGTCTTGGGTTGAATCTGCTTCTGTGGTGGTTGTGAATTTGCACTGCATAGTTAGGTGCACTGGAGTGTGTTGGCAAGTGTTCTTTGCTGGTGGTGTTGTTAGCTACAGATGTGCTGTTCAGGATTACAGCTCAGTATACCCAATAGCCCATCTGGACTGACACGCAGGCAGAAGGGGAACAGGGAAGGTAAGGGAAGTTGTTAGAATTGTCAGATCCTCAGACTCATCACCCCCCTTCTCTTAAACCTTGAAAGCACTGCCTCTCACCCTTGAGTAAAAGTCTCCAGTCACCTAATTGCCAGCCTTAGTTTTGTAGTTAGTTGGCTAGATGCTCTCCTCTGAAGCCATCTGGCTCTGTGGGCCAAGGGCTGATAGAGAGGTGGGCCGCCATGCCATCCTCTCTGTTTGACTTACTGCTGGTAGCACTGTGGTGCTCTTTGCTTCCCCAGAACCAGCTGAGTAGACTGTGGGACTTGGACTTATTGTCTTGACTTCAATTACTTTTTTGGAAATACTGAGAGGTATTAGTGGAAGTATCCCAGGAGGTTTCCTGGGTAAGTAATCAATAGTGTCAGATACTCAAGAGATTTCCTGGAAGGGGAGGTATGAATATCTTCATCTGGATTTTCCATAGAGGTCATTAGGACTTTGGCAAGAACAATTTCAGTGAGAGTAGAAGCCATGCTACTGTGTGCTGAATTATAAGTGGGGTGAGGAAGTGGAAGTAGAGGCAGAGAGAGGTCCCAGGTGGAAGGAAAGGTGAGCTGCAAGGAGTCAGGAAATTGAGTTTTGGGGGAGTTTTGTGGGGTGGTTTTTGTTTTAAGAGTTGAGATGACCTGAAAATCTTTCATTGCTGATGAGAAAGATCAGTTGAAAGTCCTGGAAAGGAGACAAATTGTTAGAGCCAGGTCCATTTCTACTACTATTTTTCTCTTGTCTGGAGTGTCTTGCCTAGAAGTTTGGCCCTCTTCTTTAGGCAGTAGATGACTTTGAGGCTTTTGAGCAGAGGGACTATAGGACAGTTGTGGTCAAACAGCAGCTGTAAGGTGGGCTAGAGGAGGCTGGTGTGCCTAGAGAGGCCTCTAGGCAAGCTGGCCCTGCAGAGGGGGAGGCCACGCTGTGCCAGAGGGTTCCGCCCACTGTGGGATGCAGACCAGGTACCTCTGGGGGTCAGGAGTGATGTCTCTGTGTCTCCGACTTAGGGAATGGCCTATCCGCTGTAGCTTTCTATGTCCAAACTGTTGTCAATTTTTCTATTCACTGTTCACATTAATGGGCCAAAGCTTATGGTGTTTTAGGAAATTTTTAAATTTTATGACTGATAATCACAGCTATCATTTGAAAGTTTACAGCAAACATGTTACTAACAAGTTGTAATTAACCCTCCCAAAAGTGTTATACTTAGGTACCTTCTAATGTCAGTGTTTCTTACAATATGAATTTATTCTAATTTCTCTATGGAAGAGTCACAGGTTCTGGTAATACGTCACTTGAAATGAGTTCTCTTGAATATAAAAATTAGTTCCTTTTTGACTTTGCTCAGGAAATTTTGCTTAAAAAGTGTTTTTAATAAAAAAAAATGTTTTTAAGACTGTAGGGACAATTGACTATTTCCTTCTGTGTGTGTGCTCCATACATAGTTTTGGAAAATATGCCCCATGGAGCATATTTTGGCTCGTCTGGAATCAGATTCCCGGCCAGTGTCTCGGCGCCTGGTGAACCTTATCTTCAACTCCTTCCTGCCCGTGAACCAGCCGGAGGAGGTGTGGTGTGAACGCTGTGTCACGCTGGTCCAGATGAACCATGCAGCCGCCAGGAAGTTCTATCAGCATGCCCATGAGCACACCGCCTGCACTAATATAGGTATGGGACACCTGCATCTCAGTGCTTGTTATGTTGTCTCCCTAAAGCATAAGCAATGCTATGTATCCTCAGCATTGGTCATTTTAATAAGCCTCATGCTTTAGTGCATTTCTTAATGATTTCCCTTGAAATAATACTCTCGATGGTTTGGGATTATAATTTTACTATTAGAAAGACCATTTTTTTGAAGAAACATACGTTAACTATTGATTATCTTAAACATTTTAGCAAAGCTGATCCATGTGATTCGCCATTGCTTGAACGCCTGCATCCGGAAGGCAGTGCTTGAGTGCCACGAGAGCCATGAGGAGAGGGAGAAGGAGAAGGAGAACGTGAGTGTGGTCCGGTCTGCCCTGGCTCAGCCATGCCTGTGGCCATGTTACCTTTGAGGCAGACAACACCTCTGGGCTCCATGCTTAGAGACAGGCAGAACGCTAGATCAAAGCTGGCATTTCCATGGACTGTTATGATGGCAATATTTTTATTTCCCATTCCTTTAGTATTGATAATTCAACTAATTATTTTAGAAGATCATAAATAGTGTTTTTGAAATAATTGTCCTATATCCTTTGTAGTTCACTGTGGAATTGGGGCAGATTTAATTCAGAGGAAAACTTATTACTCCCAAATATTCTTGGCCTTAAGCTTCTCTGTATATTTTATTCTGACTTTGATGTAACATACACCTGGATTGGATTCTGGATGTTACCATATTTTATAATTAATGAGTGTTATTGTTCTTAAGGACTTACTCATAGCCACTATTGTGAGATTCTACTAGAAACATCTGGGGGTTGAATATCTAGGAATGAACTTTATTTTGAATTGCCTTTTTAAAAAGTAATTAATTGGGGCCCCTGCGTGGCTCAGTCAGTTGAGGATCCAACTCTTGATTTTGGCTCAGGTCATGATCTCACAGTCCTGGGACAGAGCCCCAGTCCGACTCTGTACACTGGGAGGTCTGCTTGAGATTCTCACTCTCCTTCTCCCTCTGTCCACAAACGTGTGTATCCTCTCTTTCAAATAGATAAATAAATCTTTAAAAAAAATAAAATTTTAGAAAATAAAAAGTAGTTAATCAAAAGGACTGGTTAGCTGCTATTTCTTCAGAATCCATAGTGACCCCTTATAAGAAATTTAAGGCTTAGACATATATTACTTATAAGCATTGTAGTCCCTTTTCAGGAAGTTGTCTGTAGTGGTTGTTTTCAGGTTGTCAGACTGTCTTGGTACAGTCCCATTGTAGGACTGGCTAACAGACCCCATCCATGTGTGTCTGAGCTCGTTGTGTTCTGGGGCTTATGTTCTGTGTAGAAGACTTGGCCAGAGCGCATTTGTGGTTTAAGTGGAGCATTCAGAATAACATAGCGATTATTGCTTATGGCCAACATAACCTCAGATATGAATGCTATGTTATTTTAGAACAGACTGAGGAGGCCAATGATTGAGTGGGAGTTGGTCATCATCAGCCCTCACCAGGCCTGCAGAGTGAAGTGGCTGGCAGACAGCCTGGGGTGATCTGATGGTCCAAGTGTGTAGCTGACTCTCAGTAGCAGTCACATCTAGGTAAATTCTTCCCTCCTCCCCCAGTCTGTTCACATCAAAGTTTATGGCAGGAAGTAACATCTTTTTTTTTTAAAGATTTTTTAAATTAATTAATTAATTCATTCATTCATGAAAGAGAGAGAGAGAGAGGCAAAGACATAGGTAGAGGGGGAAGCAGTCACCATGCAGGGAGCCTGATGTGGGACTCGATCCCAGGACTCTGGGATCACGCCCTGATCCAAAGGCAGACACTCAACCGCTGAGCCACCCAGGGGTCTCTAGAGATTTTCAAGTAGAGGATAAAGTCATTTTCATGAAATGAAAATAGACTTGATAATCTTTTATGTTTCTGCTTTAAGTCTGAAATTCTGAGATGTACTTTTAAAGATAGAGCTGTTGTCGTAATAATTGTTCTGATTTCATTCTTTCACAATCAGATTATTTGTGTCTTAGGTTCTGGACAAAACACTGTCTGTAAACGATGTTGCATCCATGGCCGGTTTGCTAGAAATCGTTGTGATTCTCTGGAAAAGTATTCACAGAAGTATGGAAAATAATAAGGAAGCCAGAGTTTATACCATTAACAAGTTTGCCTCTGTGCTTCCTGAGTACCTGAAAGTCTTCAAGGTAAGCCTGCTCACACTGTGGGTGGGTGTATTAAGATTACATTTGTGCAGTGTTAGCAGAAGTGTTCAACACACTTACCTGGTAGGACCTGGTTGGTCATCTGTAAGGGCAGAGTGCTGAGCTAGCACATACCTGGCAGGGTAAGTGGCCTCTTGCCGTTTTTGCAAGTGGAGGCCATGTGTCCTTCTGCTCTATATCTCTAGCACTCAGGGAAATGTGGCGTTGAATGCTCAGTTTTCCTGTCTTCAATGGTCTGTAACACTATTTGAGAATCTAGTTTGATTCGCTGGGAATTGAGAAGGAAGAGTTTGCAAACACAATATCAGAGTGGCTAAGTTTCGTGGGCACTTTCAGGCATTTGATGGTGTAAGCAGATGGGCTTCTGTAGTGTTTGAGTTGCGTCTGCAAATAGAACCATGCGTGTAACTTCTATTTGGATGAAGGAAACTTGTTTCTTGACTTTTTACTTCTGAGAGAAGTTCATATTTCCAAAACAAATAAAAATAAGACTGAGCGAGAGATGAAAATGTACTCCCAATTATAAGGCAGCCATGGTTTAAGTATAGACTATAAGGATCCTAGGGTTTTTTTTTTTTTTTTTTAAGATTTTATTTATTTATTCATAGACACAGAGAGAAAGGCAGAGACACAGGCAGAGGAAGAGAAGCAGGCTCCATGCAGGGAGCCCAATGCGGGACTCAATCCTAGGTCTCCAGGATCACACCCCAGGCTGCAGGCGGCGCCAAACCGCTGCGCCACCAGGGCTGCCCAGGATCCTAGGTTTTATGAACCATCCTTCTCTTGGTGAATTGTACTTTGGGGCTCTTCCCAAACTGCTTATGTGACCTTGACCCCTTAGCTTTTCTGAGCTGCATTTCTGTGACTATCAAGTCTCTAAGCTTCATTATGTCCCTGAAATGCAACTCTAACCTATTCAGGAAGGTAAATAATCTAAATTGCCATTATTAGTACATTTAAAAGCTTAAATAATTACATTGGACTGAGAAAACAGCACTATCTCAAAATTGTCAGACCAGAACACAGAAGCCCGTGGTATATTGGATGAGATGATAGATGAGCAGTGTGGCCTGCAGGTGTCTAGGGACCCAAGGAAGGCCATTCATTTCAGATGATTCTGGCAAGTGGTCGTTTCTGCCCTCAGTTGCTCTAAGGACATTGTGCTCTTCTTTTTAAGTGAATAAACAGTCTATAACCCAGACAGGGTGGAATTAGTGGTCATTTTCAGTCTACTTTTGTAACTATAAGAAAACATTTTCTGTATTGGGACTTGGGGCAGGGGGGAATGAGTCCACTCCAACCAGATGCAAAGTGCAGGTCAAATTTCAGTGTTGTTTCTGCTTTTGTTCTATGTATGTTTTCAGGAAATTTGTAATTTTTTTTTTTTTTTGTTAGAGTCCACCATCTCTTCTCTTGCAAAACAAGGATATTTTCTATTAAGTGTTTTTTTTTTATTTTTTTTTTATTTATTTATGATAGTCACAGAGAGAGAGAGAGAGAGAGGCAGAGACACAGGCAGAGGGAGAAGCAGGCTCCATGCACCGGGAGCCTGACATGGGATTCGATTCTGGGTCTCCAGGATCGCACCCTGGGCCAAAGGCAGGCGCCAAACCGCTGCGCCACCCAGGGATCCCTCTATTAAGTGTTCTTGATTGAGCCTGGTTTACTCTTTGTTTTAATGGGGAATCACAGTAACACTGGTGTGGCTATAGCTTATTAAGTGCCACTAAGGATGGGGTGCTGTGGTGTGCCGCACTGGGTCCTTCCAGCTGTGCCTTCCGCTTTTGCAGAGGAGGAGGTGGACCTCACTGCTGCCTCTTCCTCGGTGCTGTTTCAGCTGGTAAAACTGTGGAGTCTGGTTGGACCTAGATTTGGCTTGGTACCTCCTAAGCCTAAACATTTTCCATTGAACTATACTGTCTTTCCAAAGATTTTCTGACTATTTTATGGAAAACTTTTTCTCTGACTAGTTCATTCTCTTGACATTTATGTTCAGGATGCCAAGTGGACAAAGTTCATTTTTTCCCCCTTTCATCAGTATTATTTCTAAATAGGAATCAGTGCCTCAGTAGCAAAGAATTTGTCTATTCTGTGTACGGATAAATTCCCCGAGATCTAGGTTGGCAATTCATACACAGTACATGCTTAAATATGATCACAAATTAATAGTACATCACACACAGTGGTAAAATGTCATTTAAAACTTTGAAACTGCTTCTCAAATATGAGGCTTCCCAGTAGGTTTAAGTTTCCCATGACCACTGACAGGAGTGGTCTAGTTCTTACTGAGTGTCTCTAAAGGTAAGTTATTAGGAAGTTAAATGGACATCTTTTGAAAATGTCATTGCATTTAAATACCTTTTTCCCCCTTTTTATGCTTTTAGGATGATCGCTGCAAGATCCCTTTATTTATGCTTATGTCCTTCATGCCAGCCTCCACGGTGCCTGCATTCAGGTATTCTCTCTCTCGGGAGGTAGTGAATGGGAACCCTGCATCCCTGTGCTTGGTTATTAGTGTGGCGTTCAACAGATTGTCATGCTTCAGTTTTAAGTTCACAGTGGTGGCGGGAAAGCAGCAGGATACATTTTCCAGCGGGCTCTGGAGTTGCTAAGGAATATAGAAGAGGCTACATGGAATTCAAGCAGTGTGCTTCCAAGCCCAGCAGGAAGGGCATTAGGAGTCATGCTGCCTGTGCGTCTGGCATGACGCGGGTGCAGAGTGTACGTGGGCTCGGGGCCTGGCCTGGATGGAGGAATGTGAGGAGCCGGTGGTTTTCTGTCAGTTACACCTGAAGACAACATTGTGGAGACAGTGGGTTAGAGAAGATACAGTATTGAAATTAATTGTACCTGTTTTTCTTTACTTTTTTAAAGGTGGCTACTAGAAAATTTTAAATGACATAAGTAGCTTGCTTTTGTAGCTCATGTTGTATTTTTTACTGGATGGTGGTGTTCTAAAGTGTTGGTTACTATCTCAGTAAAAATGGCTCAGTTTTATTCATATTTATGGAAAATATTAATGTTTTGATGCTAAGCAAAAATTACTCTCCAAAAAGTAGGAGTCTTTGCTCTGGAGTCTTATGCAGATGACAGAGAAAAGAAAAGCCAGGGGTTTTATGGAACTGGCATGTCCTTGATGACTTAATACTCCTATGGGACTGCCTTGACTTCCGTGTTCCTGAACCTGCCTCAGATTCAGTATTTCCTGTTGGAACTTACCCTGTGTAGTAATTGTGGGGAAACTATGTTTATTCCTGCAGTGGAGAATATCCAGGAGTACCCTTAGTTTTTAGCTTCCTTATTTTTTTTTTCCACCTTTTTGCAATGTGGGAAATTGTTACTGAAATGTTAGATCTGATTTTATATATTTGACATTTTTAGCTGTGGTGTGATTTCCACATTAAGAAACCAGGAAGAAGAAGCAGCAGACAAGCGTTATTGTACTTTGTTGGACTGTCTCTGCTCCTGGGGACAAGTGGGACACATTCTGGAACTTATCTGCGACTGGCTGCCAGAAGAACAGCCCCAGAGCAAGGTGTATTTCTGTCATGGTTCTTTAAAATTGCTGAGTGAGGATATGTGTGTTAGAAATCATATGCTTTCCTGAGAACATGTATTTTAATTGTTACTTTATCGCTCTGTTTTTTCAGAGTAACTCAGCATCTAAACGGAAGGTGAAAATCCATGATACACGCCCAGTAAAACCTGAATTGGCTCTGGCTTACATAGAGTATTTGCTGACCCATCCAAAGAATCGGCAGTGCCTGCTCTCTGCTCCCCAGAAGAAACTTAACCACCTTTTGAAAGCACTTGAAATGTCAAAGGTAATTTTATAGAACAGATATGGACACTGTGAAAGTTGTCCATGTAATTAGTAGGAGTGACAAAATAAGCTCTAAATTTTTCATACTTAAGAGTATAAAATTTTTCCATCTGGAAAGGAGTTAAGAGTTATCTATCCCTCCTCCTTCAATTTGCAGGTGGGGACGTGACACTCAGGTGACTCACTGGCGGGGCAGGGGAGGAGCCAGCTTACAATTTGGGCCCTTGGATAACCCTGTTTCTCAGAACACGCCAGTCGAAAGGAAGACTTTTTCCTGCACTTCCCTTGCTGTACTCCTGCACTTCCCTTGCTGTACTCCTGCACATTGATGTGGGAATACTAGCTTCTCCTCACAGTCCTTGGCAGGCTTTTCTAGGAATCTTTGAAGGGTGTTTCCTGTGAATTCAGCATCTCCTTCTTTCTTACTGGCTCTCTGGCTGTTTCCTCCAGGGCCAGCCCTCAGAGACAGCATCTGTGACTGCTGCTGAATTTGGTCATGCTAGAGGCAGAGTATCCAGTGCCTAGCATCAGCATCAGATAGGGAAGGGGAGGGAGAGATCTGAAGGAGGAGAAGGAGGCTCACAACTGTCCAGGAGAGGAGATGAGCCAGACCTGGCTGCCCCGCATTTGTAGGCATAGCTGGGATTTTGCCCATGGACAAGGCTGGGCACTGGCTGTGCTATTGTGCAAAAGTAAGGCTGCCTATGGGTTTTGGGAAAGACAGATGGGTGCATTCCCCTGAAGGCTTTGCTATGAGGGGGCACAGATGACATCCCTACCTACTAATGCCAGTGGGACCTCCTCCCTATCTGTGTGACAACCAAACACAGGCTTTCCCAACACTAAGGTGTCCTCCTTTTAGGGTACAAGGTTACGGAGCCATGAGCACGCTGAGGCTCTGACCCTGCCTGGGTGGTGACAGCATTGTTCCTGGGAGGAACTGCCTTTCTTTCTCTTCCTTTTTTTTTTTTTTTTTTTTAAGATTTTATTTATTTATTCATGAGGCACAGAGAGAGAGGCAGAGACACAGGCAGAGGGAGGAGAAGCAGGCTCCATGCAAGAAGCCTGATGTGGGACTCGATCCCGGGAACCAGGATCACACACGCCCTGAGCCAAAGGCTGATGCTCAACCTCTGAGCCACCCAGGCATCCCTCTTTCTCTTCCTTTGATGGTCTCCTCGCTCTCAGCCTCCTGACTGGGAGCAGGTCAGAGTTTGCCCCAGGGGCAAATGCTTTGTGTGCTTGATCCTGATCAATAACTGTTAGGAGTTTTTATCTTGTTCTTTAGAAGGAAGGATCTGCTCCTGAAACCAGGAGTACACTGTAAACTAACTAGAATTTAAATAAAAACTCAAAACAAAAAAAATAACAGGAGGATCTGTTGGGGGAGGGGAGGAAAAAGGGAAAACCATTTCTCAGATGGTTTTGTGGTTTAGTTAAATCACCTCCTATGGCAGCTATGTGTCAGGTTCTCCAGATGGTCCTCACTGTACACATCTCAGTTGGAACATGGCCACATAAGTGTTTTATTTTGTAGGCAGATCTGGAATCGATTTTGCAGTTGCCAGGTGGGAAACCTCACAACTTTAGTGAAGCCATGGCTCTGCGAGCCTTCAGCCTCCACTGCCGGCTGAGTGTCCACCTTCAGCACCAGGTTAGTCTGTCCCCCGCTGCCTGACCACACACAAAGCATGTTGACAAAGCAGGGTCTGTTACTAATTTCTCTCTCTATTGTTATTGGACAGTTCTCACAGGGGAAGGTTTACCTGTCTATTTTGGAAGACACGGGGTTTTGGTTAGAAAACAAAGTTCTGTCTTTTATCCAAGATCAAGAAGAAGAATATCTCAAGCTTCATAAGGTGGTTTATCAGCAGATCATCCAGGTTAGAAGTCTGACCACATGGAAGCCTTCTCTTCACCAAGTTTGAGACGTGCTTCCAGATTTTATTTTCTGTTTTAAAGTTATAACTTTAGATAGTAATATTGTTCTCCAATACTCACAGCATCATTCAACATCCAGAGCTTGTCTTTTCCCAAAACATAAGCATGAAATAGGTTTTAATGCATGTTTGTGGAATGGCATAAAATGAGTTTGCATATTTCTTATGGAAATAAAAATGAGAACTAAATGTATCTTTATGAAAATTCCTTTGTAAAATATCTTTATAAATACCTGTTTTAGGAGATAATTAGTAATACAATAAGATATTAGAAGCTTTACCAGGCTGAATTTATTCTCCTTTCTTGGCTCTCAGTTTCTTGGTAAATCACACCAGCACATCTGTGTCTCTTACAGACCTACCTGATGGTGTGTAAAGATGTTGTGATGGTTGGCCTTGGCGATTACAAGTTTCAGATACAGCTTTTACAGTGGAGTCTCAGAATCATGCAAGCAGGTATACTTCTTTCATTAAAGGACTCATTTAGAGCATTCAGTCATCAAACCAGTCATCTCCACCCCCTTCGCTTTGCTAATTGGGACTCTTGATTTCAGGAGACAGATACATAACACAAACTAGCTCTACCAACAAAGGAATTCATATGCTGCTGCAGCTGGGAAGCCCAAGGGTGTTTCTGGTGTCAGGCAGTTCCTCTCCCAGATTCTCCGCCCTGTGCTCTGCCGGGTGGTGGGTGGGGGCAGTGGTAGCTCTGAGCCTATCTGCTCACCATGTGGGGAGTAAACCTCCCTCAGGACCACTGGGAAGTTGCTGCTTCCCTGAGGGACAGGGTGACGGTGGGACCCACAGGAACGAATACCAAGGGGTCTGTGCTCAGTGTGGTAGGTGAGTGAGGGGTCACTTTCTTCCAGGGGCCCTGGGGCCAGATTATCACAGCCAGTGGGGGAGTGATCCAGGCTTTGTCTCCCGTCTGTCAGCAGAATTCAGCTGAGAGTGCTGCCATATGACCCCACTCTCCTCGACTACCTCCCCCTGGGTATAGAACTATTTCTGAATTGCTCTCACTGTACATCCTGACGCTATGTCTGGTGATTTCTGCCTGAAGAGGTTGAGAATGATGTCATAATTTGTAGATTCAGTGTTGAGGTTTGAACATAGAGCTCTTGAGTCGTGCATGGTGGTACTGACCCCGTGCAGGCAGCCTTGGGGTCTGACAGGGGGTCGTGCTTGGGTGGTGCTGAAGCTTGGGTGCCAGCCCCTCTGCTCTGCCGTTCCAAATATGCACTTCTTGAAATGCACCTGAACTGCAGGGGAGATTTTGGATGAGTTGTTTAAATACCCACAGGTAGAAACTGAACAAATACTGTTTCAGAATCTGGCTTTTCTTCATTAAATCTTGTATCACTTTTACTAATTTTTTTTTTATACTTTTGTGAAACATTTTTGACTTAAGTTTAATGATTGATAGATATTTTGCCAACCATTGTTAGATATTTTGCCAACCATTGTAGATATTTTGCCAACCATTGTTAGATATTTTGCCAACCATTGTTAGATATTTTGCCAACCATTGTTCCTTCTTTTTTTTCTTATAAATTTATTTTTTATTGGTGTTCAATTTGCCAACATATAGAGTAACATCCAGTGCTCCTCCCGTCAAGTGTTCTTTCTTCTCCCTGACCTGATCTTGTGCTGTGGTGAATCACAGTCATGGAAATACCATTTCTCTGATTGTAGGAAAATCAGAATAAAAGAAAGAAATTCTTTTGAAAAAAAAAAAAAAAGTTTAATGATTGAAACAATGAAAAATGATTTGTATTTTTTTTAAGGTTTTATTTATTCATGAGAGGCAGAGAGAGAGAGAGAGGCAGAGACACAGGCAGAGAGAAAAGTAGGCTCCATGCAGGGAGCCCGACATGGGACTCCAACCCGGGTCTCCAGGATCATGCCCTGGGCTGAAGGCAGCACTAAACCGCTGAGCCACCTGGGCTGCCCTGATTTGTATTTTTTTTTAACTTCTAACTTCATTTAGAATTTAGGAGTTGTTTTCCCCTAAGGACTGACTGAATCTACTCTTAGTGTTTATAAAATTTATAATTCCAAGGGTTAGCTGGAAGTTTAGATCTCTGATGTTGCCATTTTCATTACGTAAGGTGTATCTGTTCCCCCAAAAAAAGACCCTAAGCTGCTGACTTTACCTGAGCCAAACTGAAGTGAACTTTGCATTTATATATTCCAACATTTAGAGGCTTCCCAGGGGGAATCAACTGTGGCCATCCTTTGTAACCCTGTCACAAAATAGGGTTATACTTAGCAACTTAACAGGGTGCCCCCAGAGTCTGTTGTTGATGGGGCTCTTTGCTTTACTTGACAGAATTCTAACAAAACATTTAAGTCATAAAACCAGTCACATTTATATTATTATTGTTATAATATGACATTCTCCATGCTAAAGTGCATATTTAGAGGAGGTGTCCTTGAAAGGAGCGGAGTCCCCACACAACCCAAATATAAAAATCTAAGTTCACACAAATGCAGGTGTTTCAGCTATGTACATTTTGAAAAAAAAAAAAAAAAAAACCACCATGTGTTATGCAAAATCAGTGACTAAAAAGTAACGGCTGGTGGGAAAAACACAGTCTCGAGCTGGTTGTTAAGAGAGTGCTGTGTGCCAGAGCACTAGGAGATGGTTATCCTGGTAGAAAGCCAGCCTGTTTAAAAAGGAAGGTTAGGGGGATCCCTGGGTGGCTCAGCGATTTGGCACCTGCCTTTGGCCCAGGGCATAATCCTGGAGACCTGGGATCCGGTCCTGCGTCAGGTTCCCTGTGTGGAGCCTGCTTCTTCCTCTGCCTGTGTCTCTGCCTCTCTCTGTGTGTGTGTGTCTCTCATGAATAAATAAATAAAATTAAAAAAAAAAAGAAATAAATAAACAGTGAAGATGCTTGAGAAGCTTCCTGGAGGATGAGACCCCTGGCTCTGGCTTGTTTATTAATGAAAGAGAGAGAACATGTGAGTGGCGGGGGATGCACAGAGAGAGAATCCCAAGCAGGCTCTACACCCTTAGCACGGAGCCTGACATGGGGCTCCGTCCACAACACTGAGATCATGACCTGAGCCTAAATCAAAAGTTGGACACTCAAACAACTGAGACTCCCTGCCACACACACTCACCCTTCCCTGGCTCTGTTTTTACAGCTCAACTTAAAATCAAGATGGCATAGAATCTGAAATGAAAATTCAAGATCTCTAGGATGAACTGGGATTAAGCTCACATGTGGAAAATGCTTTACCAAATTGATGCAACATATACACACACATAGTAAAGGAAGTGATTCAGAAGAGAAAATCAGTACTAAACTACAAAATGTTGGAAATTTAACACAGTTGGCCTATGATATTCATAAGCCCACTGGTAGTAAGCCCACCAGTGATCAAGTTAAATAGATTGTTACTCTTGTTGAAGGTATTGCTGTTCTATTTAAAAGGAACAAGTTTTTAAATTTTATTTATTTTAAAATTTATGTGTGTTAAAATTTAGATTAATCTCATCAACCTGATATTGGCTTATCAGTAACAATTTAAGTTATCATGATACACATGTGTTGTGTGAAAATGTAATAATTTAAGCTAACTTTTATGGTTAGATAACTGATGTTTCCAATATTCTTTCTAGTGAAGGGCTTCTTTTATGTGTCATTACTTCTTGGCATTCTGAAAGAGATAACTGGAAGTTCCTTGAAGCAGACACCAGATTCAGGTGAAGAAGTTGCCACGCTGTTTGATATGGTCCAGAAAGTATTTCAGAAAATGTTGGAATGTATGGCATGGAGCTTCAGGAAGCAACCAGAAGAAGGCCTACGGGTACTCACGCCCTCCCAGTCATTAGACCATGCTCACCCAGAAGGCAAGGGTGCATGAGGATGTGTCACCTCACACACAGGCTCAGCCAGCACTTGCTTGTGCCGTTGGGCTGTTGGGTGGGTTGCACCCCCGTATGGGAGACGATTACCAGGTGCCGACCTTCTTCAGTGTGTGGTGCAGTCAGAGAGGTGGTGCTGTCTGCACTGGGGCAGGATGGCTAGGAACCCACCTTTGACTCTTAATCTTAGAACAGGTTTTAATAAGCCCAGGTAAGCAGGCCTTCTGCCAGAGAGGACAGGAGACACATAACACATTACATCTGGCTTGTGAATGCTCAAATGTTATTTCATAGAGTTTTCCAACTAAAATACACTTTTGAGAATGCTGATTTTGATTATATGTAGTTGACAGGGACTTTATACTACTTTCTATCATAGGCTACCCTCTCATCATGTGTCAGCTTCCCCCTCATTGGGAGTGAGAGCCAAAAAGCTGGAGGGGCCATGGTTCCTTTGCTGATCAAAGCTCCTGTGAAGTGGGACTCCTGAGTAGCCAGTTCATGTGGCAGATCCTGACCCATGTGTTACATTTGCTTTCCTTCTGAAGTCATCCTGTCATCAGAGGGTGTCTGTTTTGTTGTTTTTTTTTTTAAGATTTTATTTATTTATTCATGAGAATACCCAGGAGAGGGGGGGGGGCAGAGACACAGGCAGAGGGAGAAGCAGGCTCCATGCAGGGAGCCTGACGTGGGACTCGATCCTGGGTCTCCAGGATCACGCCCTGGGCTGTAGGTGGCACTAAACCGCTGAGCCACTGGGGCTCCCCCATCAGAGGGTGTCTTAAGTAGTGGTTTAAAAATGCAGATTAGCTGTTCTTTTTAAGTGAAGCTTTAAAAAATGCTGAAGTGGGAGGATGTTTATGAAACATTGAAGACTTTCAATTTTTTTCTGTTCTTAGCTGATAGAAGGTGATGAACCTTCCATCATGTTTGGCCATGTTTTTCCTAGCTTACCAATTCATTTTTGAGTTAATTTGAAATGTTTCTGTTTTTGATGAGTTGGTTCAAGTGTCTTATCTATTCAGTTTGTGCCAGAATCTTTTACTTTCTCACCAAATGTTTTACCATTGGCTGTGCAGCTCCTCTCAAAACACATGGCCTCTTGGTTTTCTTTTATTGTTAGTGGTATTTCTTTTTTTTTTTTTTTTTTTTTTTTGTTAGTGGTATTTCTTTATCTTTTCTTTATTTATGTTACTGGTGTGTCTATTCTTGGCGTTTTTTTCTTTGCTTTTGGGAAAAGAATGGTGTAAAAGTAGCTCCCAGTAGGCTTTGGTCCTGTCTGTCCTTTTGTAGCCACAGTGCCTGAGAGATCTGAGTCCGCAGTGGCAAGGGCAGGAAATAAGATTGGGGATTCCTGGACCCCTAGGGAGGACAGTAGGAACGCTTGTCCTATAAGATGTCTTTTTTTGACCACTAAAAAATGACTGGTGTGTTTTCTCGTAGCTTCTTTATTCAGTTCAGTCTCCTCTTCATGAGTTTATAATGACTGTTCAGTCTTGGCACATGGACACACCCGTCCACCGGGGCATGCTCTCAACTGTGATCGCTGCATCTGTGGTGGAGATAAGTCACCAACTACGAAAGGTGAAGTCTGTTTATCCTGAAACCACCCTGTCTGCTCCTGACTGTACAACATGCTATTCTCTATTAGCAGCACATTGTCATGTTTTCCCAAGTATTTTTTAAGAGCTCAAAGTTTAGTAGGTGTCCTGCTCCTCCAGCCTTCACAGTCCTCTCACAGTTCCATAGCTGACTGGTGACTCAAGTCATGTGACTACTGGGGACATATGTTAAGGGTGTTGTCATCTTTGATTAAGACCAAGCTAGTACTTCCATTGTGAACTTTTTTTTCCTTCCTGCATTTTATTTTTATTTTTTAAAGATTATTTATTTATTTATTTATTTATTCATTCATTCATTCATTCATTCATTCATTCATTCATGAGAGGCAGAGACACAGGCAGAGGGAGAAGCAGGCTCCATGCAGGGAGCCCAATGTGGAGCTCGATCCCGGGACTCCAGGATTACGCCCTGGGCTGAAGGCAGGTGCTAAACTGCTGAGCCACCCAGGTGTCCCTCCTTCCTGTATTTTAGAGATCTACCTGAGTGATATATTTAAGACTTCCCTGACAAGGCGAAAGCAGCCATCGTCAGTGGAGCAGGGTAAGGATGGTGCTTGCCCTGCAGTTTGGGGTAGTTTGCACCTGACAGCTTTGCTGGAGGGTAGGCCTTACGTTTCTTTTTCATGTCTAAACATAGGATATGTGAACTTTAGATATGAGTTTAAGCACAAAACTTATTCATTCCTACTCTGTAAAGGACTGGTGTTTTCCTAGCAGTTACATAGTTTTTACAGTTAGCCTACTTGGGTAAAGATTGACATAAACAAAATGTTAATTCATGTGAGAACAGAAAGCTCTGTTTCTTCAGTGAAATCCTCGAGGCATGGAGGGAAGGCACAGGGTAGTGACTTAGAAGATAGAGAGGTAATGATAAATGTTTCTCAGTATGAAAAGATGGAATCTGATAGTCAGTGGCATTGTATTATATAAATTCTGTACCGTAAGACCATAAGTATAAAAAAGCCAACTAAATTCCTAAAACATTAATAGTATTTAGGGCTCTCCTTAAAGCTTGGTTTAGGCAACTAGTAACTAGATTATATATAGAATAATAAGAACTAGAATTATTAACTCCATTGAGCCTTATAGCTAACAACTATAAATAAATCAGTGGCCCCTGGGCCAGGCCTGACTCACCAGTGACTCTGTTTTTTTAAACGAACTTATTGTACACAGCCACACCTACTACTTAGAGATTTTCTGTAACTGCCGAGCTGAGTAGTTCTGACAGAGCCAGTATATTTTACTACTTTATGGAATATATTTGCCGACCTCTCTTCTGTATCCTTAAAGATTTGTGTCCTTGTTCCAATCATGAGAAGTTAGCTCCGTGGTGGACTCGTCCCTTTCCGTTAGTTGGCATGTATGTAGGAGCTTTGTTGGTAGGTGCAGATGCACTCAGGACTGCTATGTCTTTTTTTTTTAAGATTTTATTTATTGGGATCCCTGGGTGGCGCAGCGGTTTAGCGCCTGCCTTTGGCCCAGGGTGCGATCCTGGAGACCGAGGATCGAATCCCACGTCGGGCTCCCGGTGCATGGAGCCTGCTTCTCCCTCTGCCTATGTCTCTGCCTCTCTCTCTCTCTCACTGTGTGCCTATCATAAATAAATAAAATAAAATAAAAATAAAAAAGTTTTTATTTATTTATTCATGAGAGACACAGAGAGAGAGAGAGAGGCAGAGACACAGGCAGAGGGAGAAGCAGGCTCCATGCAGGAAGCCCGATGTGGGACTAGATCCCGGGACTCCAGGATCACGCCCTGGGCCAAAGGCAGGCACCAGACCGCTGAGCCACTCAGGGATCCCCAGGACTGCTATGTCTTTGTGATGCGGTGGCTGTCTGATTGTTCAGGAGATGGCTCTTCTTCCTTGTATTCTCATTATAGTCTGCTCTGGCATTTTTCAAGGGTACCTAGCATCTTTTTTTTTTTTTTCTATGCTTTTACTTTTAACCTGTTTTTCTTTCCTTTTTTTTTTTTTTTTTTTTTTGTATTTTTTTTATTGGAGTTCAGTTTACTAACATATAGCATAACATCCAGTGCTCATCCCGTCAAGTGCCCCCCTCAGTGCCCATCACACGGTCACCCCATCCCCCCACCCACCTCCCTTTCCACCACCCCTTGTTCGTTTCCCAGAGTTAGGAGTCTCTCATGTTCTGTCACCCTCACTGATATTTCCCACTCATTTAACCGGTTTTTCCATATGTTTCAGAGTGTTTCTTGTAATCACCACATGGGCAGCCCTTTTTTTCTTTTGGTCCAGTTTTACTGTCTCTGCCTTTTACCTGAGGTGCTCAGCCCATTTGATTTTAATGAGATCTTTGACATGTTTGGGTTTAATTTGACCATTTCAGTGTTTGTTTTCTATTAGTCTCCCTACTTTTCTTCTTTTCCTGCCATTTGATGGATGAAATGTTTGTAATGTTCCATTTTATCTTCTCTGTTGGCTTTATATTGTCCTTTGTATAGTTGTTTTAGTGGTTTCTCTGGAGATTTTAGTATGTTCATTTAACTCACCAGTCTCCCTACAGAAATTACAATGTCCTTGTGCATAGTAAAAGTCTTGTAACAACGTTCTTCCAGTTAGCATTCTCCTCCGTGTTGTTGTTCTGTATCTTACTGCTACATATGCTAAAAATCTCAGGATATATTTTTTAAAATTTATTTTGTTTTAAATATTTTATTTATTCCTGAGACACAGAGAGAGGCAAAGGGAGAAGCAGGCTCCTTGCAGGAAGCCTGATGATGAGCCCAATTCGGGACTTGATCACAGGACCCTGGGATCATGACCTGAGCCAAAGGCAGAAGCTCAACCATGGAGCCACCCAGGCATCCCTCCCCCCACCCTTTTTTTTTTTTAAAGATTTTATTTATTCATTTGACAGTGAGGGAGAGGGGGAGAGAATCTGAAGCCGACTCTGCACTGGTCTCAGAGTCTGACATGGGCTTGGATCCACTGCCCTGAGATCATGACCTGAGCCGAAACCAAGGGTTAGATGTTTAACTGGCTGAGCCACCCAGGGACCCCAAGATACATTTTTATTTTAACACATCGATAATTATTTGTCTATCAGAAATGCATTTATAACATTTAAGATGTAAAGTGTTTTAATGAGAAACAGCTATTTCAAACATAATGATGATTGACTTTGATATCCACGTTAGTATTATGAATCCTCCAAAGTGCATGTGGAAAGGCTCTTTAGGAGTACTGTGTAGTTAGACCTGAGTTGAGTCCCCTGATAGCCAAGTGGTAGGTGAGAGACAGTAGTGGGATGTATGAGGGAGGAGGTGATGGGGGTAGAGTGGGGTCAGGAAACAAAGACATAGCTCCTTGCATCCCTGGCCCCCACCCCCTCCAGAGCACGGTTCTGGATTTAGATTTTCCAAGGAGCCATTTGAACGTGGAGTTCATTCACCACTAATGGGTGACTTTAAACTTGTAAGGTTGATGATGAGGGGCATAAATCTAGGCAGAGCCCCTACGTGGGTCCAGGCCAACGTTACTGCCCTATGGCTGGTTCTCTGGAGGACACTGGCAGTGCCTGGAGCGGGGGTGCTCCTGGCCAACGACACTGCTCAACATTCTGCAATGCAGAAGATGCCCCACAGCAAGGAATTATTCAGTCCAGGATGTTGGCCATGCTGAGACTGAGAAAACCTGATACTGGATGAGTAGGAATAGCTAGTTAGACTTACATAAAAACGCATTATTTACAGAAAATACTACTACATTAAAGGCTATCTGACAAAAGGCTTATTGATTGTATCTTTTCATTTCCAGCTGATGAATAATATACCCCTATCTACAATAATAGATTAATCATAATTATTGTGCTCATTTCAACAGTTAATAAAAACTATTCTTTTGAGTTTTTGGATGAAAATCCACAGCAGTAGAAAACAAGTCATTAGCTCTGTCTCAGTCTCAATTTAGAAATTACTGATTTGGAACTTCTTTTTAGATTTCTAATATAGAAGAGCTCACCCTTCCTGAGGGGCTGTCAGACCTCCCACCATTTTCGAGGTGTTTAATAGGAATAATAATGAAGTCTCCGGATGTGATCAGGTAACCATGCTCCCTTTATTGCTTTGAGATTCTTCTTGTGACTAGAAGCTCTCGGTAGATTTTGCTGTATTCCTTCAGCTCTCAAAAGTGCTTTTTTTTTTTCCATGAGAAAAAGGTTTCAGAGAATTTTCTCTCATCAGCAATTAAAAGTAGTTGCATTATTTAAAAATTTTGCATTATACCTCTACAAAGAGAAATTCTAACTTTCTTTCAAATACATCTATCTGAAAACTCCCTGGTTATGCTTACTAAGTATACCCCGAATGCCTGATGAAGTCAGTGCCCTTGTGGATTCTTTGGGCACATGGCTGTTCCTGTGTCACTTGGCTGGAGCTCCAGGGCTTGTTGTGGCAAATCCAGGACTGGTGGCCTAGTTGTCTGATACCCAAGGAACTGTAATAGCAGGTCTATTCAACGAAAACTGGAAAATCATCATACTTAGCAGCTGTGAGTTATTTTTCGGTGATACTCAATTTTTTGTGCATACTATGTGTATACAGAGTAGCTGTTTTCAATGACCAGAACGTCCCTGTTCCCCTTCTAAGAAAGCATCATCAGATGTTAATATCTTACCTGTGTGATAGTGAGAATTATGAGAAGAGTTGAATCAACTTCCCATGTTACCTGAAAGTTAGAATTCATGGTGGTTGATGAATCTTAACGATCTTAGTCTTTCTATAAAGTATTAGGATTTATATACTATAGAATAACTCCAGATGTTTATTAATTTGTTTGCAGGTCATTTTTAGATGAATTAAAGGTGTGTGTTACTTCTGATGATATTGAAGGCATTGTGTGTCTCTCAGCTGTTATGCGTATTATTTTGGTTATTAATAAAGGTAGGTTAAACTTTCTCTCCTACCATCTGGGTTATTGTTGGGTGTGATCCCACACAGAACTGTTACAGGGATGTTTAGGAACTCTGTTCCGTGTTTGCTGCGTCCCCTGCCAATCAGACTCCCTCTGCTCAGCTAACCCTGCTCTGGCCTGGAAACAAGTCCTATCCACACCTGTCTCCCTCCCACACTGGACTGATTACATGTCCCTCTCTGTGCTTCAGAATTGAAGTTCTATTAATTTGTCATTTGTTAACTGTGCTTAAAAGTCTGAATTTACTTTTGCTAATGATAGTGTTTTGATCTTAATTCTTTTTTTTTTAAGTTTTATTTATTTATTTTTTTATTCATAGAAACAGAGAGAGAGAGGCAGAGGCAGAGGGAGAAGCAGGTTCCATGCAGGGAGCCTGATGTGGGACTCGATCAAGGGTACCCAGGATCAAACCCCAGGCTGTAGGCGGCGCTAAACCGCTGCGCCACCGGGGCTGCCCTTGATCTTAATTCTTAATATACTTGTTGTTCCACTTAACCTTATACCTGCCTATTTTGAATATCCCACCCAGTTGAAATAGTACTGTGAAAATAGTTGGAGATGCCTCTAAAATGCTCACCTCAGTATAAAGTGGAGTAATGTCCCTGCATATTACTGTTGAGTTTCTATATTTCTTACTCAGTTTTACTAATGTTGAAATAATTTTCTAAGATATAACATATTGACAATAACATAAGACATAACAGAGTGCTTCTATCGCAGCAAGCTGTCCCCATAAGTCTGATCGTGTGGCATGTCTACTGAATTAGGATACTACTTTGTTACCCAGGGCAGACATCAGAAAAGACTTCTTTTTTTTTTTTAAGATTTTATTTATTTATTCATAGAGACACACACAGAGGGGGGGGGGCGGGACAGAGACAGAGGCAAAGGGAGAAGCAGGCACCATGTGGAGAGCCTGACGGGGGACTCAATCCAGGGTCTCCAGGATCACGCTCTGGGCTGCAGGCGGCGCTAAACCTCTGCGCCACTGGGGCTGCCCAGAAAAGACTTCTTTAAGGGAATGTCTGAGCTGAGGTCTGGAGAATCAGGGAATATTCCCTACAAGAGGGAGTGATGGTGGGGTGCTGATGAGCACCTAGTACTTAACTTCATGCCGCACAGATGATGACACTGAAACATGGTAGTTGTGATCTGTGGCGGAGGTACAGGTGAGGATCCAGTCTCTGATGGCATAGACAGAACTCACAGGATCATGTCTGCTGGAGCTGTCCCTCAGAGCTGATGAGGTGCTTCAGAAAGCACCTACTTGACCTTCTCACATCCCTGTTGGGACAATTACTGTTGCACAGGTCACTGGGTAGATGGACTTGGAGGGTGGGGAGGCTCTGTCTTTCTGGATTTGACCTACACTGATAGAGTATGCTTGTGTTACCACCACAGTGGCCACGTTAAAATCTTTTCTCTGTTTTGGTTATAACTTCCCTGTAGGTAAACAGAGGAGTTCAAAAACGAAGGATGTTGCAGCCACTGTTCACAGAAAACTGAAGACATTCATGGAGATCACGCTGGAGGAAGACAGCACAGAGAGGTAAAGCACTAGATGCACTGGATGGGTGTTTCTAAGAGCTGTGGGTACTCCACAAGCACATTTACATCCAGGCAGTGAGAAAACAGGATTATAAGGACAGAAACATCTCTTTTGGAAAACTCCTTGAGCATATGTTTAATTTACTTACTAATTTTGTCTTTAAAAACAAAAACAAAATTGTCATCTGATAAATATTACTCCAGAAAAGGCATACAAACTTATTTTATATGGTTTTAAAACTATACAGATTATTGTGAGTGGTTTGCTGTTTTTGAAACCATGGGCATTTCTAAGACATAATTGCCCAGTCCCCAGGCATCCACAATGAGGATTGGGGAAGGTCCCTCCAAAACTTTGAAGAAATACTGGTCATTTCTTGCTTCCTGGGTGGCCTGTTGCTGCCACAGGACTGCTCCTAGGAAGATGTTCACTGGACTTCTCCAGCCAAGTGTGTTTATTGTTGCATTTGCTATTTGACATGCAATATGGCTTTCTATAGACACTGTTGTTACCTGTGTTTAATTCTCAGAACAACTGCAAAAACAGTGTTTTTTGTGCTGTTTTATGAACCTCATAAAGTTAAGTGTTATAGAGCTCTGAACTAGGTAATAGTTTTAGGTATGCCTGGGAAAGTAGCCACTTTTTCTTAGCTACTTTCTCCTTTGAAGAAAGGCTTCAAAAACCCTAAATTGCTAACTTATGAACAAGGACCATTTTAGCTCTTTCTTCCAATCTGTACACCTTTTATCACTGCATTAGCTAGGTCGTCCAGTGCAGTGTTGAAAAGCAGTGATGAGAGGGGACATCCTTGACTTTTTCCTGATCCTAGTGGGAAAACAGCTAATTTCTCACCATTAAGAATGATGTGAGCTGCTGATATCTTGTGGATGTTCTTCATCAAGTTGAGGACGTTCCCCTCTATTCCTAGTTTATTGAGAGTTTTTATAATGAATGGGTGTTGGATTTTGTCAGATGCTTTTTTTGCATCTACTGATGTGATCGTGTGCTGTTTCTTCTGTAGTCTGTTGTTGTGATGGATTATACTAAATGATTTTTGAATGTTGAACCAGCCCTGCATACCTAGAATGAATCCCACTTAGTCTTGGTGAATACTTTATACACTGTTGTTATTAGTTGTATGCAGTTGATTGATGGTGCTGTGAAGTTCAACTATGTTCTTAATGATTTTCTGCTTGCTAGATCTGTGCATTTCTTTCTTTTCTTTTCTTTTTTTTTTTTAAAGATTTTAATTTATTTATTCATGAGAGACAGAGAGAGAGGCAGAGACACAGGCAGGGAGAGGGAGAAGCAGGCTCCCCAGAGAGAGCCCGATGTGAGACTCGATCCCAGGACCCCGGATCACAACCTGACCCAAAGGCAGATGCTCAACTGCTGAGCCACCCAGGCATCCTGAGATCCATGCATTTCTGATAAGAGGGATTTTGCCTCATATCTTTTGTGATCCTGATAGTAGGTGCATATGAATTTAGAACTCCTATATCTTCTTGGTGAATTGACCCTTTTATTTTTATGGAGAGTCTTTATTTCTAGAAATGCTTTCCCCATAAAGTCCACTTCGGTATTAAGACAACAGTACCAGCCTTGTTTAGTGTTTCCTGAGCGTTTGTGGCATTCCAGTCAGAAGGCAGAAACCAAATAGTGACTAGGACAGGGAAATCTCTATGTTGGAAATTCTTAGGAGGGTGTTTTGGTATAACAGGTTATTGGCTAGTGAAGGTTAAAGCCAACCTTAAAGCAGAGAGAAAAAGCAGATGTGAGGAGCAACTGTGCTCCTAGGGAGAATGCACACCCCAGGCTGAGACTGCTCCATGGATGGTGAAGTCCTGAGGCCTTCTGATGGGACTCACTAGATTTCTGGTCTCCAGGGGGCATTGGAATGGCCAGGGGAGCTGCTGGAACCAAAGCTGGAGCCTTCTGCCAAGCCTGTGAGCTTCCATGTGCTGTTCCAGGCAGGTAGCTGCTGGCTAGATAGCCGCCCTTGGTAGCCCAGTGGGGACAGTGGCCTGAGAGTCTCCTGGAGAAGGGTGGGCCTTGCATGACAGGGCACTGCAAAGTCTGGTCTCTACAGTGATCAGAACTGGGAAGAGAAAGTCCCCACAGACCAGGTCATTGACTAGGGCACTGGAGTAGGTAGGGGTTTGCATGACCTCGGTTGTGAGCAGAGGGAATGTATTCAATTATATACTTCATCCTAAAAATTAATGAATATTTACCATGCGGTTTTAATAAAGGCAGGTTTGCCACCGCATACGAGATGGAGAAACCCAACAGACTCTTAGGTTTTATGAGCTTGTTTTATTTCTAGACATTTATGGGGGAGAGGGGAGTGATCTTCTGATTTGGAGGAAGTGAGGAATGTTTGTATATTTCAGAAAACACATGGCAGTATAAATAGTTTTACTAGGTGCATCAGACAACCTATAGGGCAGCCCCGGTGGCTCAGCGGTTTAGTGCCGCCTTCAGCCCAAGGTGTGATCCTGGAGACCCGGGATTGAGTCCCACGTCGGGCTCCCTGCATGGAGCCTGTTTCTCCCTCTGCCCGCGCCCCCCCCCCCCCGCATAAATAAATAAATAAAATCTTTAAAAAAAAAAAAAGAATTAGGGGATCCCTGGGTGGCTCAGCTGTTTGGTGCCTGACTTTGGCCCAGGGCATGATCCTGGAGTCCTGAGATCGAGTCCCACATCGGGCTCGCTGCATGGAGCCTGCTTCTCCCTCTGCCTGTGTCGCTGCCTCTCTCTCTCTCTGTCTGTCTCTCATGAATAAATAAATAAAATCTTAAAAAAAAAGAATTATAACCGATATAAATGATAAGTTATTTTCATAGGATGTGATAACAATCTCAGAAGTCCAAGCAGTTTTTAAAATATTTTATTTATTTATTTAGAGAGTGTGAGCTGGGGAGGTGGGGACACAGAGGGAGAGAGAGAATCTTGAACAGAATCCATACCCAGTGAGGAGCCCAAGGTGGGGCTCGATCCCACAACCCTAGATCATGATCCAAGCTGCAGTCAGTCACACTGAGCCACCCAGGTGCCCCAGAAGTGCAAACATTTTACAAGATTTCTTTGTTCTTAGAAATACCATTTGCAAGGATAAGTTTTTTGGTCGTAGAATGCTGTGTGTGTACCATTGTGAAGATGTTAGAGAACAGGGCTATTTGCTCCTTATTAGAAATTTCTTATATTCCACTTGCGCAGGGTTTTAAGGTAAGTACTTAAATCACATTAGTTATATTGAGAGGGAAAGAAAAGCCTTAGAAGTTCAAAACTTGGGGCATCTTGGGTGACTCAGTTAAGCATCTGAGTCACCCAGATGAGCAAAAACCCCAGTTAAGCATCTGACTCTAGGTTTCAGCTCAGGTCATGCTCTCAGGATCGTGGGATTGAGCCCCACGTTGGGCTCCCTGCAGATATTAACGCTGATACAAAGATGGCAAAAAGAGTTCTTCCCTTTAAGGAGGGAACATCCAGTAAAAATAGGACTAGATCATGAAATTTGGGCTTCCTATATGTGCGAGAAACACGCTGTAGAAAACCAGCATCTAAAGAAAAATCATTCTAAAATAGACAAGATTTAAGACTAAATCCAAAAATACTACTGATTTAATGCTGAGGTAGAGACATTAAGGCAAGTTAACCTCTTTTAAGACTCTGGAAACCCTTTGGTCCAATTAATATTTTAGGCAATGGGGCATTAATTCAGAAGCCCTTTTCTTTCTTTCTTTCTTTCTTTCTTTCTTTTCTTTCTTTCTTTCTTTCTTTCTTTCTTTCTTTCTTTCTTTCTTTCTTTCTTTCTTTCTTTCTTCTTTCTTTCTTTCTTTCTTTCCTTTCTTCCTTCTCTTCCTTCCTTTCTTTCTTTCTTTCTTTCTTCTCCTCTTCTCTCTTCCCTCCCTCCCCTCCCCTCCCTCCCCTCCCTCCCTCCCCTCCCCTCCCTCCCTCCCCTCCCCTCCCCTCCCCTCCCCTCCCCTCCCCTCCCCTCCCCTCCCCTCCCCTCCCCTCCCCTCCCCTCCCCTCCCCTCCCCTCCCCTCCCCTTTATTTTCATTTATTTATTCATAGAGACACAGGGAGAGAGGCAGAGACACAGGCCGAGGGAGAAGCGGGCTCCACCTGACGTGGGACTCGATCCCGGGTCTCCAGGATCACGCCCCAGCCCTCAGGCGGCGCTAAACCGCTGCGCCACTGGGGCTGCCCAGAAGCCCTGTTTTCTTGACGAATGCACTACTTTTCTCTCCAACACTGTTAGTATTTTGTTAACTGGTCTATTGGGCGCTAAATTAAAAAATGCTTCTCATTGCATTTTAATTGCCTCACCCAGTATAGCATACTGTAAACCGGACATAATTTCCCAAGAGGAACAGCATACGTTTGCCAGCACAGTGGTGCATTTAAATGCCAAGTATGTTATATTTATTACTTTCATAAATAGTATGGAAATAGCAATAAATTTATAATTAGAAATTTTAGAAGTATAAATATTTCTTATGGCTCAGGTTATATCATGAATTTTTCCCACCAAGTAAATGGACTGTAATCATAAGCAAATTACTTGCCAATATTAATTACGCCTGTGTGTAGGCAACTTTTGTATAGTGTCCAGCGTAAACCCCCAGCATTAAGCCTTGTTATTAGAACCTGAAGGGAAGGGGTTCTCCATGACAAAATCACCTCTGTTTGGTTATCAAGCATTTTATTCTGCTGCATGAAATTTTAATAGTCTTTTTAAAATGATTTTGAGACAGGATGCTTTTTTATACCTCATTTAGAAGCAAGCTTCTGTCATCATCAATGCCCAGTGGACCTTGGTATAGATAATTTAAAACTAGATGTAAATAAAAACAGGCATTGTTTATCTTATTAATTGTTTTTCTCGGAAAATTGATTTTGTCTGCCCCTCCTGTGGCTGTGGTCATGTTGGATATTCTTCATTGCATGAACACACCCTGCTGGAGGCCGTGGGGTCTGATGGTGGATGGGGTCAAGTCTCAGCTGCTGAGAGAGATTTAAAGACTTTGAGAAAAAAAAAAAAAAAAAAGACTTTGAGAGCTCAGGTAGGCAAGCACCTCACTTGGCTCCAACATCTCGTCACAAGAACCCTGGCCCAGGGAGGTCATTTGGCTAAGGCTTGCCGCCGCTCGCTGTTATGATAGTGACCTCCACAGGCCTGTGCCTCTCACTGTCCACCATCCTGCCTCTGCGGTGTCACGAGGGCACGACAGAAGAGCCACACATATAGGGTAGCCCAGCAGTTAGAAAGTCAGAACAGCCATTGCTCAAGTAACAGAGGGGGAGCGGGGAGCACAATCAGACCATTAATAATATGATCTTCAAAGGAAAAATCAATTATACCCCAAAAGGCTGAATTAGAACTAAAAATCCTAAATTAAAAATGTCCCTGATGCACTGGAGAGAGGTCACTGTTGGGACTCAGATTCCAGGTGGTCTGAAAGATCACGTGGTAGGAGAACCTCAGAACACAGGCCTGTGGATGAAGAGGAGTCATGGGGTAAAGACAGGTGAGAAATAGACCCAAAAAAGCAGTCATTTAACAAATAGTAGGAGAAAACTTCCCAGAGCTGAAGAAATGTGGAATTTTAAAGATTCCTGTTTTGTTTCTTTCACTAAATTGTGGATGGGATTAATGAAAAAAGAATCACACCTAAGTAAGTCTGTAGATAAAATTATCGAATTCTGGGGGTAAAGAGAAAAATCGCAAAATCTTTCTAGGTTTGTGCTGTCCCTGCTATGGCCGTTTTTTCACATGTGGAAATTGACGCATGGCGAGTCTGACCTGAGATGTGGCTAAGTATAAAGTGCACACCAGGTTCTGAAGATAGTATGAAAAAAGCAGTGTAAATTTTGTTATTTTTATGTTGATTACAGGTTGTTGTATTTTGAGTATCTTGAGTAAAATAAAATATATTAAGATGAACTTCACCTTATATTTTAATGAGGTGAGTAGAGAACTTAGTTCCATGCCTGTTTGTACTGATATGAGGCCAAGCTGTTGTAGACTAACCATGGGGTGGGTTAGTCTCCACGAAGGGCAGGACTCAGACACTCACTGAGCAGGGAGTCAGCTGAGATGTCCCTGGGGACAGAGATTGGTATTTGTGTGTAGGGCCCACATCCCCTCTGAGGGACATGCTGGGTACCCTTGTGGTCACCAGGTAGTGAAGGAGGAAGGTGGCACATACTTGTAAATGCCTGTGTGAGGACTGCTCCGAGAGGGCTCCTGGCATATCCTTGCCAGGCATGGTGGGGGAGCAGCTAGAGTGGGCTCAGTCCAAAGCTGGTTCTGTGGGATAGGGAGGAGCAAGTGTCTCCTGGGACAGGTGTGGGGGAGGGCCAGGGGAAGTGAGGTGCGTTGAAAAGTGATTGAAGTAAGTGTCAGTGTAATAGCCAGTCTTGGGGAAATAGTTTCCATTTGTTTTGTGTTTTTGTGGAAGGAAATAAAGCCCACGACTGTGAAATGTACTTATCATATTTATGAGTCTGCTGTGTATCTGAGTCGTGGTTTAATCCTCACAAATGAGAGTACTTCTGAGAAAATAAATAGGAGGTCACCTATAGGAAACCTGGCCTGGTGTTTTGTTTGCATGAAGAGTGCTTTGGGTCTCTGTGAACTGCTGTTGGCTGCAGGAGCAGTGATGACGACTCTGTCCAAGTGTGGTTTCCTCTGATCAGGATTATTGCTCCATTTTACATATGAGAAGCAATTGGTGAAAGTTACTGAGTATTTCAGCTTTCTCTCTCAGTGTATATTCAGTTGTGAAACGTTTCTAGGTTTATTTTGTGAAAGTATACGTTAGGGTATCTTGGTCGCTGATTTCTGTTAATTGTCTTTCTTTGTGTTTTAGGTTTCTCTATGAATCATCATCAAGAACTCTGGGGGCATTTTTGAATTCATAACTAAGCCAACATCTATGATTGTGTGCAAACAGAGAAAAAGGACTTAGTAAAAATGAAATGAATGTGTATTTTCCTAGGTTTTTAATATTAATAACCCGTATCATAGGGGTGGGATTTATTTGGGGAATTATAAGTAGGAAACTCAGAAGTTCTTACGCTTTTGCAAGGTGCCTGCATAAATAATATATTTAATATAAAGGACTCTAGGTATCATTGGTGCAAAGAAAAAAAGACACTTTTTTAGCGAACATGGTTGTTTTAAAAATTACTTATATATGTGCTTGTTTGTGTGTACATACACACATATATATGTGTGTGTATATATATATATATATATATATAATGTTGCTTGAAGCTATGAGTAATAAAGTGGTGAGAACATCTGTGTGTATACCTTATTTAAAAATATTATATGGGAATCCCTGGGTGGCTCAGTGGTTTAGCACCTGCCTTTGGCCCAGGGTGTGATCCTGGAGTCCTGGGATCGAGTCTCGCATCGGGCTCCCTTCATGGGGCCTGCTTCTCCCTTTCTGCCTGTGTCTCTACCTCTCTCTCTCTCTCTGTGTCTATCATGAATAAATAAATAAAATCTTTAAAAAAATATATTAGGGATCCCTGGGTGGCGCAGCGGTTTGGCGCCTGCCTTTGGCTCAGGGCGCGATCCTGGAGACCCGGGATCGAATCCCATATCGGGCTCCCAGTGCATGGAGCCTGCTTCTCCCTCTGCCTGTGTCTCTGCCTCTCTCTCTCTCTCTCTCTCTCTCTGTGACTATCATAAATAAATAAGTTAATTTAAAAAAAAATAAATAAATAAATATATTATATGAAGCTTCCCTTTTAGAGACAATAGTTGAATTCTGCCAAGAGTAGAAGGTGTTAAAGCAGAGGGAGTGGCTGTGCCAGATGTAGGGAGAGGAGCCACATGTGGGGTCCTACAATGGCCTCCCTTCCCCTTCTGGTCTTTTTTTTTTTTTTTTTTCCCCTTCTGGTCTTGATGCTATTTTACTGGATGTCAGGATGGGCCCAGTGGCTCTAAGTATGAGTGACAGAGAACAGAGTCCTTCAGCCTGGAGGTGAATCACTGTTATTTTGTCTTTTTTTTCTGAGAGCTGACATGGTGCCAGTGGAGGACCAGCCCATTGTCCAAGACCCTGGCTTGTCTGCTCCCAGTTACCAGGTCTGTGAGTCCGTTAGCCACGGGCCCCGTGTCGTGGTAGAGCAGCCACCTGTGATAGATGGGACATGAGACTTTAGTTGCTTGCTCATTCTGTCCTCTGCCCCCAGCAAAATGGTAAAGAAACACCAATTTCACTATTTCTCTAAGAAAGTACCATAATGGACTGCTTACCATAGTTAAAAGCAGTTAGGGTAAGGTTTTTCTGAGATAGCTGAGAAGTGGGAGGTGAGGGTTACTTATTTTAGCTTTTTTTTTTTTTTTTTTTAAGATTTTATTTGTTCATGAGACACAGAATGAGAGAGGCAGAGACCTACGCAGAGGGAGAAGCAGGCTTCTCCTGTGGGACTCCATCCTAGGACCTACTCTGGAATCATACCCTGAGTCGGAAACAGAGCTTAAGTGCTGGGCCATCCAGACGTCCCTCTTTTAGCTACTTTTGAACAAAGACTTTTATTCTATATTGGCAAATGTGATTTATTCTTTGCCCTTGCTCGAGTTTATTTTAGTATTAATAAATGAACTGAGGGGCTCCTGGCTGGCCCCATTGGTGAAGCATGCCTCTCTTAATTTTGGGATTGTGAGTTTGGGCCCCATGTTGGGCCCAAGATTTTAACAAAATCTTTAAAAAAGAAAAGAAATGAATTGAGGAATGCTCTGTCTTTCTGGATTCCTGGAAGAGTTTGTGTAAGATTAGAAATAGTTCCTTGGATTTGTTATAATACTCAATTCAGTCTGTCTGAACTTGGTGTTTTCTGTGTGGGAAGAGCTTGGTGTTTTCTGTCTTTAATTAAACATTTAATTAGCTTTTTAAGTATATATATGAATTTTTGGAATAGTCAGGTTTTCTCTTTTACCTTGTGTCAGTCTTGATGGGAGAAATAATCCAATTTGTGAAAAAATAATTTCTCTCCGGCCAAAACAGTTGATAAAATCCTAATCTAAGTATAAATCCTAGAGGAATCCTGTGAATGCATGAGGACGCTCAGAGCATCAGTGTCTAAACAGCTGGTGGAAGTAGTGGGCAAGGCAGCCCTGGGGTGTGGGGGAACGTGGCTTCTGCTTTGTTAGGGATGACGAGGTGGGGATGGGGAGGGCACTTCAGGAGCATGGTGTTGAGGGAAAAAACAAGTCACAGACTAACATAGTGTGATTTCATTCTGGAGAGTTTTTTTTTTTAAAGATTTTATTTATTTATTTATTTATTCATGAGATACACACAGAGAGAGATAGAGAGAGGCAGAGATACAGGCAGAGGGAGAAGCAGGCTCCATGCAGGGAACCCTATGCGGGATTTGATCCTGGTTCTTCAGGATCATGCTCTGGGCCAAAGGCAGTGCTAAACCGTTGAGCCACCCAGGCTGCCCATCATTCTGGAGAGTTTAAAGTCATGTGAAACTGAACACTATCGCTTACGCTCACATAATATATCAATATATTATTAACATATTGATAACATCAATAAGCAAGGAAAAATAATTCAGAATGTTGAGTATGGGAGAGAAGGGTGGATAGCATGTAATATTCTTCAAAGCAAATGCAGAAATAAACTGGAAATAGATATTTGTGTGCTCGTTTTACTGCTTATAACCTTACACACATTATATTCTTATGTATTCACTATTTAACAACGTAAACAGAAACAAATGTAAACAATCAAATGTAAGGAAGAGAAAGCAAATATATCTTTGGCACAGGACTTGGAAGCATTCAGATACAGATCTCTGCACCTGTGATCACCACTAGGCCAGCTCTAAGAAGTGATGGCCACACACAGTGAAGATGCCAGAACCACTGTGCAGACAGTGGAAGGAGGTTCAGAGAGCTGCCTGTGTCAGTGTGGGCTGCTTAAGGCAAGGTAACCCCCTATGGGGCTGTGTTCCATGGGGGGACACAGCCCTCGCTGAAGCCAGATG